ACTATTTATGAAACATTGAAAAAACACGAAAGTAGTTATTCACCAGATGCTCGGAAGTAAAAATAAAATTCGAAAAATTAAATTTTATAATTTATCTAAGAAACTGGATTTATTTGAATATACTTGGGGACCGAGGGAAGTTCTGTCTAAATAGCTTTAGACCAATTTTTACACTATCTTTTGACAGAGAGATTATTTATAAAACACAGTAACATGAAATTTAGCTTCCAAAGATCACTGTTTGAATTGAATTTTCTTTCTCTTTGATAGCCTTACAGATTTTGGAATAAATAATTTTAAATTTGAAGTTACTCCTAACTATCTTTCATAGCCTATTAGAAATATCGTGTTCGTGTGTTTTATAAACAATAACATTTTCAAATTTTTAAATATGGGGCGGTAGTTTGAGAAATAGAGCTTATTTTCCATCCATAGTGATAAATATTAATGTGCCTTATTACGGTCCATCGGATGGCTGGATACTTTCGTGTTTTCTCGGTCTGTCTGTCGTTTGCGTCGATTTTTATCAAAGAGATAATTCCGAATCAACCGGACCAATTATTGTCAAATTTTATATGCATTTTAAGGATATCGTGTTGATGGTAAAATGCTAAGCAAAATTTCTCTAATTGTCCCCACCAACAATTTGATGACGCTCCTTTATCATTTTGAGTAGATGAGGTTATCTAAATGTTATGAAATTATATACTTTTGTACTAGTGTTTTACGAATCTGCATTGATTTTATCACAATTACTTAAAAAAACATTGGTGCAAGGTTACTTCGGTAGAACTTCCTGTGACAAATTGTAAACAGCACATTTGGGGTTTTTTGAGGACCCAACTAGACAAAGAAAGTCATAAAAATTGCTCGATTCTTTTCGGTGAACGGATGAACCGGCGTCAATAGCACCCCCAATCCTTGCGCCATGGGAACGCAAATTTCAATTATTATTTTATCATTATTAAATATCGCCGGGCGCATTCTTTATTTTCAAGAAAATAGGGAGACTCATTCTTAATTTGATAAATAAACAATTCTGTGATGACGTGATTAATATGGATAGTACTAGTAACAGGTCATTACCAATGTAAGACAAAAAATACAAAAGTGGCCATTTGTTCGATGGACCCAATTACTATATTTCCTTAGCCGAGGCTCGGGAAGTAAAAATTGTTATTTGAATGAGTTTGACGCCTCAAAACAGGGGACTAAAATTATTGATACAGTCACAATGTTCTGAATTGTATTATTATAATTTTTATTAAATAAATGCTATTACGTTATAAATATAGATAATACACAATGCGAGAGAAAAAAAAAACGAAAAGCCAAGTTTGCAATCGAACGCGCGACCTCCGGTCCGTATTTTATTCGCGCAACCACTAGGCCACGACCGGGATGCTTTACGCTAATGGTAAACTACTATTATAGCGTGCATTATGTTTTTGCAAAAAATTGGACGGTTAGGGAAAAACTCAAACCGGATACGTAAACCACACTTTTATGGGTATCATGTTGACTAACAATTAAATCAAATAAAGATAGAATTTTTTGAAATGTCGTTATTAAATTGTTGGTGGGGATGATTGGCAAAATTTTGGTTAGTATTTAACCATCTACATGATACTTCTAATATGTGTATGAACAAAATTTGATAACAATCAGTCCAGTAGTTTCGGAGATTACGTGTCTAATAAAAATGGATACAAACAGACAGACAGATGGAAACGGGAAACTACTTTTTTCGTACTGTAGGGGTCATGAAACGTTGAGAAAATATAAAAGTGGCCATTCGTCCGATATAAATAAATATAGATAAAAAGTGTACAATATATTCCACATGGTTTATGTGGCCGATATCTCGCTGCTGCATTAAACACTTCGTAGAGTATGGAGATCGGAGGAGAATGATGGGACTTGTGCTCCGACATGTGTGCATCATTATCGATTTTTTTTTCAGGGTGATTTGTATTATTTTTATTTTTATTAGTTATAGGCTTTTCTTGCAACAACAGAATAGTTAAACAAGTTTTCAGTTTCTTGTTGGGAAAAGAAGACTTCGTATATTAGGAAAAAATGGACTAAATATAACTCCCGCCCACCCACCCTTTCTCAATTGTGATGAATGTTTTCTGCATCATGAGTAGAAGGGAGGAGTTTAGTTTGCACAATCCTCTTTTCGCTACAAGAAATTGCCATATGAAATATGTTTTTAAAAGGGTAGAATTTTTTAGAGAAATATTGATTAAACTCCGCCCTTCGGTTTGAGAACGAATGGAAAATTCATCACGATTGAGGTCCAGACGGATAGGCGGGGCTTATCTTTTGGCTTTTTTCCTTAATACATATAGTTTTATTCGAGCAATGCGATCACTGAAGAACATGTTTCACATGGTAATTCTTGTAGAAAAATAAGGATTTTGCAATTAAGCTCCACCCAACGTGAGTCACGATGAACAAAAAAAAATCGTTCCAAATCAGACAGGGTAGGTGGGCGGGTTTTGTATTTTACATTTTTTTTTAATATACGTAGTCTTCCTTTCACAATAAAAAACTGAAAATATGTTTAAAATGGTAAATTTTATCCCCCACACTTCTCTACAAATGTACGCTTTGAACACGTTTTCAATTTATTGTCGTAAAAAGAAAACTGTCTACACATATTAAAAAAAAAGAAAGCACAATACAAACCCCGCCCACCCATCCGTTTCTCAATTGCAATAACTGTTTTTATTTGTCGTAAGCCGAGAGGCGGGGCTTAATTGCAAAATCCTTATTTCTCTGTAGCAAACTACCATGTGAGAACGAAAACTATTTGTCAAAAAAAAGAAGAAACAATTAAGCCCCACCCACCCATCCCAATCTCAAGTATGATGAATTTTTCATTCGTTGTCAGATCGAAGAGCGGAGCTTAATCGTAAAAATCAATGTTTCACAAAACAAAAATTTACCATTTTAGAATTTTTCGAAAAAACTGGATGTGTTCGAGTGTTTTAAGGAGCGAGGGAAGTTCTGTCTAAACCACCTTAAACCAATTTTTTTCTTAAAATGTGACCGTTATTATCTACATTTTTTTAGGTTACAGAATCGGGGCTTGTTGGCTGTACTTCGGAGCCGAGGAAAGTTCTCTCTAAAAAGCCTTACACTAATTGTTTCATCAGTTTCTTGGTGACTGTGTAACACCGCCTTATATGGCTTAAAAACTGGAACATAAGTTTGATGAATTTTGATTTCAAGTTGCTTGCAACGATTTTATAACCTCATATATTGCAAAACAACATTATTTTTATCTAAATTTTCGAATTACCTTATGCGCGTCGTATAAAGTGAAAAATTCCAAAATGAGATTCATGGTTATTTGGACAGAACTTTAGTTTTTGTTTTTGTTTCTGATAATGTATATATTTTAAAACAGAACAATACGTTGCACTATTACGCCGAGTGACACAATCCTTCTACCACGAGCGAATCACACAGATAGGCGCAATTCCACCCCAATTGAGGTGAAAGGATTAAGAGAATAAGAAGGATTCCAAATTGCGTTTACAATCACAGCCGCTATTACGCCAAGTGACGCAATTCCTTTTGCAACGAGCGGATCACGCAGAGAGCCGCATTCCCGGTATTCTTGACGAGAAAACTATCCCGAACGACGCACTTATCCCTGCCCCGCAAAGTTGCCCCCTGGTTGTGTTAAGTAGCGCAATTCCATTCGGACCCTGACGTTCGTCACATCTGACTTGTACATAAATGACAATAAATTATTTCTACCACCCCTACAACTTAATTATTATTAGTCCTTTTCGTAGTCTATGATAAATTGTCAGATTTGTTTTTATAAATTTTATTTATTAAGTTTTTTTATAACTAAATTTTCAGAAGACAGAACGAAAAAACGTGCATTTTCGTTTTATATATATATTTTGCATTCCTCAAAATGACATTTATGGTGAACATATTTTTTTGAACAAAAAGTAACCCAATGTGTTGTATTTTTATCAAATGATGTAATACTTTAGCGATAACCTTTTGAAGGAAAATTGAAAATACGAAAAATTGTCGACGCGTTTCGCCAACTACGTTGAGATTATCTAAACAAAAGTAAACTGAAGTTTTTTTGTTTTGTGTAGATAATGGCTAAATGGTTGGCGAAATTCCTTGACTATTTTTTGTGTTTTCGGCGTTTTGAAGGAAACTTTTTTTTAGTAATAACTTTTAAAAAATTTCTACTACGATGCGGACATTTAAAGGATTTCTAATTAGTAATTTTAAGAAATTTTTGTCACATGATTACTTACTTGATAAATATGCAGTAATAAGTCTGGATGGCTCTCGCAAAATGTATAGGAAAAGAACATTTTTTACTTTAAAATTATAAACAAAACATTTAGTACAAATTACAGATAGTCATCTGTTAAAATTTTATATAAATTTTCCTTTTTTTGCAAAAATTTCAAATATAAAGGCATTCAGAAAACGAATACTAAAATATTTCACTATTGTAGCTTGATTCGTTTCGAAATTATTAAGGGAAAACTAAAATTTAGTGGGTCATTTTAGAACGCGATAAGCTTTTTATTATGCAGAATACGACCATGTTTATTCCTTTTTTGTAATTTTAACACATATAATTTGTTAACAAAATTTCGGCCTTGAATTATAATGCACCGATATGTAATCAAGAATCATAAATCTAGCGCTACTCATTGACTTCAGTGTACATAATTTTAATTATACTCAGAACGTTATTTTTGTACCTGTTAAAATTTTATTGCCGTGGGAAGTGAGAGACAGCTAGCATGTACTATTAAACATATCCTAAAGGATGTACACCTTACCACCGTCATTAATTCTCCTGTTGTGTTGTCCAACCCCTCATATTCGCTACATTAAAAAATAACGTTCTGAGTATACTCTATCAGTTGTGTATGTTGTTGAACTGTAAATAAGTTATTATCAAACAAAAAGGTTTTATATTACCATTAAACTTTTGAGGCTATTTCAAATATCATTATATTCAACAATTATTTTGTGTGATTAGTGATCACCTTGTTAGGTATAGAATTTTCAGTGTAAGTTATATCGGAAAGTTTGCATCGATATCACCATCTAGAAATTGTAACTTAAAATTAGTCGGAATATGTTTTTTCTACTTGTCCCCACACGTCCAATTCCACTGATAAAGTTTTGTTATCATTTCTGAAATATTTATAGAGTCCTTGTAAGTAAATATTATTATGTCCGTTGATATATTATACCTATAACAAACTGTGACCGCAATTTTTACAGTTTGTATGGGTCCATTAGTTTTGCGGAAAATATTACAAACTTAACTTTATTTATATCTATGTACAATGCTTTTTACAGTTAAACTGACTTAGTGTTCTTGAAGAACTACAATAGATCATCACATATACGTATATATTCTTAATAAAATAATTTAACGTATAGTAAAAAAGTAAAAAGGTATAACAAAAATACCCGTTTACCAAACTTACACAAGAGATACATCAAGCAATCGAAAACGTCATTTACAGTAATCCTTTTATACGCTCAATATCAAAAATATATATATTTTTTTGTACCCAAGATCAAAAGATATCAACTATCTTTCTATTTTCGTAGATCACATGGATTAAATTTTCGTAAGGCTTGATATACTGACTGGTATAACAAAAAGTAAAAAATTACTGCTGAAATATAAAAGTCAGAGTCTTGTTGAATCCAGTGATTGTGTTTAAAGTTAATGTTTATTCTTTGGCCGACTGATGACTCAGTCGTTTTTCGGGTTTAACATTATCACCATCGACACTTTCATTAGTGTCTTTCTTTTCTGGGTATTTATATCTAGACGCTATAAAAGTGAAAATAATCATATCGGCAACCATCAGTCCAACGTAAAGTAGAAAATCGTACGACTAAAACATAAGAAGGTTATTTACTTTTATCTAATCTGCTACTTCAAAGTACACTTACCATCCTGTCAAAGATTTTGATTGATTCAATAATAATGATGATGATATTTCCAACCGCACTGGTTAGAAGGAAGGCAGATGTTAAAACAGACTTCATGGAAGGAGGGGCTTGAGAATAAGAAAATTCTAACCCAGTGATGGAAAAAAGAATTTCAGCTCCGGTGATAATGAGGTACTGCGGTACTTGCCACAGAATGTGAACATTGTTTGATTGAGTGATTTCATAGAAGTGTATTTCCTGCAGGATTGTTGTTAGTTTCCAAGTTTAATAAACAAATAAATATACTAATTACTTTTATCGCCTTGCTGTCATCAGTTAGTTGTGCCACTGCTGTGTAAACGCCCCCTAAATTAAGTTCATATTCAGAATTTCCTACTGCGTAAGTGCCAGGGTCTATTGAAAAAAGCGAACTGTTTCCGGATGTAAATTGTAATCCTACTTCGTCCTCATCCCAGAATGTTATTGTATAATTTTTGGACGGATTGCCTACCAAAGTTCTGAAAATTAAAGATATATGATTTTAGCTTCGTAAAGTATTTTTTAATTAGAATGAAACGTTCACAAGTTGTCATTGCACGAATAAGCTGTAAGTAGCAGATGATGGGAAAGACAGCTTGTGCCAACTTGAGGACATTTTTCTTATAGGTTTCACATTTCTTTCGTTAGCAAGATTGAAAACAACTGGAATTTCGGTTACATGTTTGCTCCACCTTAATCAGGTCAAAATTTAAGGAGACTGGAGTTGGCGTGAATAAAAGCGAGACTGGAAAACTTTTTTTTTATGTAAGCATCTCGATACGGTTATTATATGTATATCAATAAACGTACCATCGAATCATTAACGATCGTGAAAGTTACGCCTTGTGGTTTTTTACAAAATAACATTTACGGTCAATTAATGGCAGTGAGAAGATCACATATTATTTGTGTTCTTTTTTTAGTACAACTGATAAATTAGCAGTAAGTCGTTCACATTTTTTTTCACAAAAGTAGTTTTGTTATGTATTCTGAGAAAGTAAAGCTCGAAACTGTTATACAAGTAAAAAAGTTGATCGAATATTATTTCGACACAACTTCCTCCGCCTCTGAAGTACAGTGGCACTTATCCAATTTTTTCGGAAATTTATAAAATTTGTGTGGTGTAAAGGTAGGGAAGCTATTCGCCTGGATCAATTGAATTTTAATTATCTACGTCATCAACATTCTAGCAAGGACCGTATATCAATTTGGATAGGTGGAGTGTAATACTAACAATAATACTTCTATATTCCCAAATTTTTTGGAAAACTGGGTGACCCGTTTTTGATTTAATCAATAAAATAATTTGCCGCACTCTTTAATTTTTTTTTTGTCGTTTTCTAGAAGGTGTCATTCACAACACATCGAAATGTCAAAGAAGACAGTGAATTGGTAACTGCTGCTGCTATCGAGAACTAGAACGACACGAACGCTGTGATTGAAGACGGATGTAAACATTACCGAAGTTGTAGAAAACGCATAGTATGTAACACGTTTATAAATTTCTCTAGACATTCTTTTTTAAACACTCGCTCCGCTTGTGACTAAATAAACTCGGCACTAAAAAGACGTTCCTAAAATTTGTTGCATAATATGCTATTGTATTTTGTGTAGATAATAAATTATTCATAACTTTCATTAATAACTTTTCGGTTCAATTTTGATTCCAAAATGTTATAAAGAACTTGAAAAATTCACTGCAAATCAAAACTGTGTGATAAAAATGTTTTAAACTCTTATATTCAAATATATTCAAAGCTTCAGAGTCTTCCTACAGAATCCACATTTTTACTTGCCGAGCGTAACCAATGAAAGTGTTGTAATCGAGTCCGTGGGTCAAAATCTCTTTTGCATTTTCTCGACCTATCATGACCCCTAGAGGACGAAGAAATAAGTCTCCCGTTTCCGTCCGTCTGTCCGACTGTCTGTTCGTCTGTCTGCCGTTCCGGATTTTTATTAGACAGACAATCTCCGAAAGTACTGGACCGATTGTTGTCAAATTTTGTATTTATATTAGGTATATCATGTAGATGGTAAAACGTTAACCAAAATTTGTCTAATCATCCATACCACTAATGTGATGACGCCACTTCAAAATTGTACATAGTAAATAGGTTTTAAATTGTATAAAATAACATAGTCCTATACATGTAGTTTATGATGCCGAATTGAGTTTTTACCCGAAACGTCTAGATTTTTGGAAAAAAATCAAAATTATAAAACAACATTTTGCAATTTAATTTTGAATCTGCTAAACCGAATTTTTAGTAAAATATATTTGCTTAACCCCTCCAAAAAATTGATGACGTCAGCTCAAAAGTTTGCCGAATAAATCCTATCTAAATTGTAGAAAACATGAGCAGTCTGTACTTGTAATTTATCATTCCATTCATATTTTTTGCATTTGCGTATTATACAAGGTGAAAAAAAAAAAATTAATGAATGCGTACATTTTTTTATTGATTTGCTCAGGAACTACAAAATGGAGTGCTTTGAAATTTTGAAGATGTTTTAAAGTTCTCATAAGCATGGTAAATTTTTGATCAAAATGTATATGAGTAAAAAAAAATTAATGAATGCTTGAATTTATTTTATTGATTTAATCAAGGCTACAGAACCGAATGCTTTCAAATCTTGGAGATGTTTTAAAGTGATCATAGGCATGGTAAATGGTTGGTCAAAATGTATTTGTTCATCTTCCCTAAAAAATTTATGACGTCACCTCAAAATTTCGCTGAATATATCCTATCTTAAATGTGTAAAGTATGATGAGACAATACTTGCGATTTATCACTGCATTAAAATTTTTTGGATTTACTTATACGGGGTGTCTCAAAAAAATAAAGACTGAGTCAATTTATTTTATTGATTAAATCAAGAATTGCAAATCTGAATACTTTGAAATCTTGCAGACGTTTTGAAGTTATTGCAAGAATCTTAACTTTTTAATGAAAATGTATCTGTTTATCAACCCCAAAAAGTTGGTTACGTCATCTCAGAATTTTGCCGAATTAATCCTTTCGAAAATGTGCAAAATATGATCAGACTATATTTGTAATTTCTCATTGCATCATATTTTTTAGATCTGCTTATACAGGGTGACTTAAAAAATTAATGAATCAGTCAATTTATTATTGATCAAATTAAAAACGAGCCGTGACTTCCAGGGTGAGAGCGAATTTATTGAAATATCCCGTCACAGAACTCTAATGAGAAGAATCTATGAAAGACATAAAGACACAGTTCTTAAAGCGAGGGAAGTACTGTCTAAACTCTTTAGACCAATTTTTATAGTGGGAGCCTTAAAAGTTCCTTAGAAAAAAATTAGTCTCAAGATTTTAAACGAAACAAGTTTGTTTGTTGTTCACCCTCTAACTTCTCGTTTTATCTCCACTCACCATAAATCTTTCGTTTGCCCCCTCCTCTAACTAAATTTATTTAATTCATAGTTACCTCGTTCCAAGGTTTTTCATTCCATAGTTTTTCATCTTTTCCTGCTCATTAATTTTTATTATTAAGATTACTCCAAAAAGTCTGCAGCCTTCTTTACAAACTTTTTGATAGACTCAAGACCACGGAGATTTTCCAAATAAATTAATTACCACGTAGATCCTGAAAACTCTTGCTGATCTTTTAACTAAATTTCTGGTTATGCCATCAAAATAGACTAATTAGTGTCAAGTTTTACAAATTAAAAATTAAAATGTCATAGTTGTATTGAAAGTTTGGAATATTCGTGCTGCCCGGACATTGGCTAAGGAAGGTTGTAATTCAGTCCAACTGCGAATGGCTACTTTCATGTTTTTTCGACGTTTTGTGACCCCTATAGTAGGAAACAATAGGTCTCCCGTTTCCGTTTGTCTGTGATCTGTCTGTCCGTCTGTGGCGATTTTATTAGATAGATTTATGGAACTATGTTAAGAATATAATGTTAATAGTAAAACGCCAAGTAAAATTTATCAAAGCATCCCCACCAACGATTTGATGACATCACTTCAAAATTTTGCATAATAAATACTACTTAAATTTTATAAAATAACCCACTCCCATGCACCGAACAAGCACTTGGTGAACGAGTGGATAACACGTTATTGAACTTGAATTTGTGTGAGTGTTTGACTTCAGGTGCTCGGACTTATAACTTTAGAACAATCTTTTTATTTAAATTTGACAAAATCTCGAAACGAAATACGAAAGTTCAATGGTTCTTTCCAAAAAATGGTTTCATAACATCAGTCGTTGCTACAATGCTGATATCATGATATCAAATAATGTAACCTTATGTAGACACGATGTTCCATTTCATTAAGTGCATCAAAATTACTTCGAGATTGTTATCTGGTCAGGAAACAAATTGCTCAACGAAGAACTTACAAAATCATTGTATTACCAAACTAAGAAAACTATGTTTTTCCAAAAAAAAAGTAGTTCCATTTAAAAAATAAAGCCGTTTTAATCGTTTTCGACATGCGGAACTTTGTAAATTCTTTATCGTCATATATTCAAGTAGTAGTTTTGAAATAATTTGATTAATCCGTTTAGTGACAACTTCCTGTATGATTCAGGTTTCGACCTTTGTTCTTATATTTCTGTTGCACTTGATATATTAATTTATTGGTCTGTAAATTACGTGCATGTGAATTACTTCACTGTAAATATGAGAAATTCAATGTATAATTGGATTAACTGAGGCGAAGTGAAACAGAAGGTCATACAATCTACATTTGAATCTATATATATTTAAACGTAGCTATATATAGCAAGTAACATTTCTGTGGTTTTTATAACTTCTCATGACAACTCACAAAGTCAAACTTAATTTATTTCTTCTCCTATTAATTTAAAAAACAGCTTTTTGTATATGGTACTGCAAGTACTAAGATAGTTTACTTAAGTGCTTTTCTTAGAAGTTTGATCAACTTAACGTTTCTAGTTAAAGTATAATAAACTGGATTTAAGCTGCCGAACAAAACAGTAATATGTTAATAAACGAGTTTTAAAAAGTAGCTGACTCGCTTAAGAGGCTAGATTTAGGTGGCTTTTAAAAGTATAAGTTCACATGCAATATTATTTTACGAATGGTTTATAACAACAAATATTTTATTTATTTTGAAGGTTTTTGTTTTGCAAACATATATAATGTAAATAAATTTAAAATTTAAAATAATATTTTTAGCAAGAACTGTTTGTTTTTATAACAAATTACCGTATCGAGAATTTGAAAAAAACCTGTTTTTGTTTTACTCTCGTTTTGATTATTATAACACACAAGCAAAATACCAAAAATTATGGAACAAATTGCTAAGTGGAACATGAAGCCATTATAAACAACCGATTGTGTACGCTCATTAAAAAAGATACCTTTTAGCCTATCGGCGTTCACTTTGATCCATATTCCCTTAGCAAACGAAATCGTAAACTTCTTAATTTATTGTTTTACCTTATTTTAGGTAATCCATCCTCAGGTTTGTTTATGTCATCTACAAGTTGTATAAGACCATCCATAGAAGGGTAGAAAACATAACCTGTAGCTTCTGTCAGCTCAACTGTTCCCGTAGCATTAGTACTTGGCAATAGACAATGGTTGAAACTATACGTGTAGTTTTTGGTGCCATAACAATCCACCTCCAGATTATCATATCCAAAACTCCCAATATTTGTCGCTGGAAGCACATTATCTATCGCAAATGTTCCATTGCAATTGTACGGATTGTAAATTCTCAGTTGGCAAAGACCATCAGAAGGCAGTACCGGATCCGACGCTTCTAAGACAGCCGCAACTCCAGCTGACACAGCATATGCTGCCGCAGCGAAAAATCCTCCCCAGACCATCCTCCTTAGTGGCGTCGTAAGGAAGTTGAATTTAGCAAGGAAGGGATAAACGCCGTAGGTAAAAAGAGGAATGAAGAGCAGGATCAAAATTGGGTTTATAACTTGCATTTGATCGGGTAGAATTGTGGTAGCACCCAACCGTCCGTCCATTCTAGTAGCCTGGAACGTCCACCTGCTGCCTTGTTGGTCATAAAGTGACCAAAAAATGGGCAGAGGAATGAATACCACCAAAACCTTTAACGTGATTTTTATGTCTTCGACTAAGGTCCTACCGTATTTTTCTTCAGCGTGATCCATCCAATGATCACGTTTCTCTTTTGATTTACGGTTTTTCCTAGCTGCGTACTGAAATAAGTATTTTAGTTGAAAGTTGACTTTTCGTGGTTAAGTTCTTACCCAGATGCACTTGACTACTTGAACGACGACATTTCCTTCCGGCTTTCTGATTTTGTATAAAGGCATTCCAAGGAAGAAGATTACTGGAAGTTTGTTAATTCAGCAACAGTACTCAAATAGTTCATGTTTACCTATTGAAACAATCATGAGTATTCCAGGGATGGCAAAGGCGAGAGGATAACAGTTTTCGTCTCCGAAACAATGAACATCTTCGCGTAGTACAGGAGTTAAAAATGTTGATATTAAACTTCCCGCATTTATCGCAAAATAAAATACAGAGAAGAAAGCTACCAGTTGTTGTTCTTGTTGTGGTATGACAAACTGGTCACCTCCAAACGAGGAGACGCAAGGTTTTATTCCTCCAGTTCCTATGGCTATTAATAATAAAGCCACCAAAGAAAATGGGGCTTGTGGTATTCCTATGGGTTTAGCAGAAGATAGAGCCAGTAGTATATTTCCGCAAGCGTAGATCATTGATACGTATAGAATAGTTCGAAATTTTCCTAACCAGCTGTCAGAGACAATAGCTCCAAGTAAAGGAAAAAAATAAGCCATCGTAGTGAACACGTGGTAAATGATAGTTGAATCACTTTCTGAGTACAGCAGTATGTCTTTTAGGTAGAGACTCAGGATGGCTAAAAAGCAAATCGTCTATAATTTCTTAAAAACATTGTTTAAAGTATTTACTTCGCATTCCATAGAAACTGAATCTTTCGCAAAATTCGTTACTGATGATGAAGAATACAGATTTTGGATAGCGGATTTTCTGTAAAAAAAAATGATAAAGAATTAATATTTAGGATAAGTTTGTTTCATATTTACTTTACCTATGGCACAAGGCGTGTGTTAGTATGTGTGTGTATGTATGTATGTATGTGTGTGTGTTAGAGTGTATTTGGTGTTTTCCATAGGCAGTCTAAAAATTATTAGTAATTTTTTTGATTGTAGCTATTTTGGTAAAGATGTTTCAAGCAAGAAATGAGGAAAATAGTAAACGTATAAAGTAAGAAAAGAGTGTTAGTCACACAGAAAAAGCACAGTTTTAACATATTTATAAATTTTATAAATTAATTTAAATATAAGCTTAGGGAAAAAAGTCTGTTTTTAGAAACCTCCCCTCATAAAAAGTATAGGTATAGAAAGAGAGAATAAAATTAGTAAGAGATGGTTTAAAGTGATTAGAAAGACAGGCGAAAGAATAATAGTAGATGGAATAAAATATTATACTTACAGCCAGTTAAATGTGTGGCTTGTTCCTGATTTGAATTTTCGAACACTCTTTTCAAATGGTGGATAAATAAAAAACCGATAAATTACACGATTGATAACGTACACCAGGAAAAAATAAATAAACAAACAAATAATAAAATGATAAACGAAAAAATAAAAATAGGAAAACGGTCAACTAAAGAAATATTTCCAATTTATTCATTTTTATTCAAGTTTGGAGGATATTTTACATTCATAACGGGTGATCGCAAAATTTTCACATTATGGTTGGCTGAGAAAAAAAAAAAAAAATTAACCTCAGGCTCAAAAATTTACACTGTTGGACGGTGCTTTTGAAACGAGGCGTCGCATTTTGATTTTAATATCTTCGATTTGTTGACGTTGATATTTGTAAGATTTACCGGTTTAATCAAACAAATGAAAAATATTTTCACCATCTGTCTTTATCTGAAAACTTATGGATCACCTGTTATACGATCTTAAATAAAAAAAATTATTCAGTGCACAACGTTAAAATAATGGAAGTATTAGTTACGCAAAATGTTTTTAAAACCTATTAAAAAGAGTACGAACATGCGTGACATCATTCTCTAAAACTACATCCTAGCGATTCCTAATGATGGATTTTGGCGGCAACCTTGCGCATCGCTTCTGCGCACGACGTCGTTTATGTTTATACCCTACTCTATTATATCGCTAAAATATTCAAACTTAAATGCTATCTTGAGAAAAGTCTTGCGGACAGTAGGACTATTTCTATTATCGAATAAAATGTTTGCTTCATATATAGTATAACAAGGAACATGTGGGACATGTAACACAAAATTAGGGAAATTTTCATATGTATTTTTATGAAGAAGAGGAAGTGGTGAGGTATAGGACGAATTAGAAGATAATCGTTACTGTAACAATTTTAGTTAGGACTAGTAACTTTTCGGGGATTTACGTATTTTTAGTAATTATTTTTTAAATGTTAGTAATACGAAATTTATATCGGGTTACATCACAAAATTTTCTAATACCCTACATATTTTTAAATCCTTTGATTGACCTCTTCTTAAAAAATATTTCATTTTCCAAATTCTGAAGCGACTTTGTCAAGTTTTTAACAATGCCAAAGTTTACAAAAAAATCGAAATTGTTTTTTTTTAATCTGTATTACAATATTTTATGATACCCGCTTTATTGTGTTCCAACAACAGCTAGTCTTAGTACAATACATGTCTTAGCATTTATACGTAGAACACTCTGTATTTTATTATTGAAGTTTAGTCAACTTTATATGCTCGTTTCGTTTCTCTTTTTAAGCGTTTTCTATAATTAAGGACTAGAAACGCCGCAAAATAGGGTGGTAAGAGATAAAATTTATAATTTTAATGAATATTTTGTATATTGTGGTGTCCCGGTTTGAATTAAAATTTCACGCTCAGGGAAAGAAAAAAACAACACCTTAAAACTCCATCCGAATAATTTGAATTTGAAATAATAAAAAAAAATCGTTCAAATTTAACAGTCATAAAATTGTTCATTCAAATAAACCATGTGTCAGGAAATTCACTTATTCAGGCTTCGCTCTTTCGTTTATCACGTTATAGCAAAGCTCTGGATTTTTTACTTAAGTATTACATTATAATACACTTCTTAACTCTTCACTCGAGTGTTAATCAGTATATTTCATTTATGGCATTTAAACTTATCTAAAGGTTGATCTATTTTGAGAGCAAGGACGTGGAAATTTTTATCAGTTAAATGAATATTCTCGTGAACTCGAAAAAGGGAGGATTTACAAGTTTAATAGTTTGTTTCAGGTTTAATTATTTTCTTGTAGGTTTAATATTTTTCTTGCAGTTTGAATTTGAACATTTAATCTCGACGACGCCGCTCTAGAGCGCAGAGTTTCTGGGATTAGCTTATTGCTATTTTGATCTTAGGTATTCAATGTGTTTTTTTTTGTAGTGATGCGGGGTTTCGGTTCACGAGGAAATCTGCGAATGGATTTTGAAATATGCAGCAACTCAAATTAACGCATAATTTAATCTCATGTAAATCCTTTGTTGTTTAAAATTGTTGATAAAGTGTGACATAACTTAACATCATGTAAATACTTTGCTGTTGAAGTCCTTAAGTGTGTGGCGTAATTAATTTTAATACGAATTCACTGATCGTTATAAATTCGAGAGAGAGAATGTGAAGTGTGAAGTAAGTCCAGTTATTTGCTCTGTGTATAACATAATAATTGATATAATTTTGTTGTAAAAATGTAATTTTTATGACTCTAATATTAATTGTAGGTTTGAGAAAAATGATAACAGTTCTATTAGTATTGGACATTACGTAAATATGGTATTTTCTGGTCGCAGTGGCGTAAAAACAACTAAATTTACGTCACTAGCGCTGATAGTAACCAAACATATGACAACATAATTTGTATTTCAGTTTAACAGATTTTGACGTACGTTACAATTGTCATACAGATCCATTTATTATGTTTTATAATTTCATAACTTTAATTATCTTCGAAATACAGTTGTAAAATTTATCAAAAATTTCACCAACTTTTGTTAAAATAAGTGTATATTGTTCAAAAGTGTGTTACCTCGACATCTTTATCTTACCTCCTCCTGCGCCTCATTCGTCTCAATTTCACCATTTTTTGGTTTTTCGTCATGACTAAGACCATTAGCCTCGCCGTTTTGCGATTTCTCTTTTTCTGAAACAATACAAAAATTAGCATTAAGTCTCTTTACAAAACGTGACAGAAGAAAAAGTACTGTTACAGTTGATTGATCGCTACCGTTCCGTAAAAATGGAACAGTTTCTTCTCAACAAACAGGTAGAACAACTTGCCAAACTTATACGTAATTATGGGAATAATTACATGATTCTTTCTTTTAAACACAGTGTAATCATTCAAAGAAGTCGATAAGCTTGACCCTCCAGTGAAAAATGTTCATATTGACGTTTACAAAATTTTATTCTTTGCACTTAGAGTCTGCGTGTTTATGGTATGTGCGTTTTATCTGACGCTGATTATCACCGATTTGTCATGTATATTTTTACGTCAATATAGTTTGACTATTATGTTTTTGGACGAATGTTTGTTTTCGATAATTAGCTAGATAAGGAGCAACGTTATTAAACATTTATTAACTCGGTAAAAAAATTTTGATGGAAATGATCCAGACACTCGGTCAACAATATTTTTTAAGTAATTACGTAGTTAGACAGTTGGCAGTTATTTTGAGTGAAGTGCATTCACGTACTTTGTGATATCAAAATTGCGATAAAGGTGTAGATAAATATTGTAGAAATGTGTTTTTAATTTTTTATTCCTTGTCTCGCATACTTACTGTTATTAAGTAGTTAGTAACTTATTCAAGTCGCAGCGGATGATGCAACACAGCGACCTCGTAACAAATTTTGTAATGAATTTTTAGTGCATTTCGCATTAATTTTCTATTCGGTTTAGAAACGGAAGGAAGAAAATCCTAAACTTAGAAACGAGCTTTTTGTCGTAACTGAGTCTTGCCTGCATCTAAAATCCTGTATCAAATAGAACTGATCTCTGTCCACTACCAAATGGCAAAATATTTTTTGAAATGCTTCATGAGGTTAAGAAAAATTCGTCAATTGAGCGCTTTTGAAAAGCCTTCAAGGCGAATTCATGAACCACAAGTACAGGAATATGCTATTTTATAAAATTTAAATAGTATTTCCCACACAAAATTTTAAAATCGCGTTATTAAATTGTTGGTGGGGATAACTAACTTTGGTTACCGTTTTACCATCTAGACGATATTTCTACCATAATGTTGATTAAAATACAAAGCTTGAGTAAGTAGTTTTGCTTATCTGTCTTTTGAAGCTACTGAATATTTGTTATCACAGTTATCTGAACAATTTTTAATTATTTGCATAGGCATTTGTATGGGTACTAAAAATGCACAAAAATTCTACAAATTTGTGAATAATGGTCGCATCTTTAAATTCATGAATACTTCATATTTTTTTATCTGTTAAAAACCGATTTAAAAATTGCGGGTAATTTCGACTGCGATAAAAAGGAGAGAACAATAGCATCTCCAAAAACGCCATCGACCAATATTTGACAATTCGATGTCCAATAATTTAAGAAATATAGGGCAAGGTTGTCTGATTTAATTGTGATGGTTATTTCCATTTGTCGCCATAAGTGAAATCACTAAATAGTTTAGCTGTGACATACTTATCTCATTGTGACGTAGGTGTGTTGATACCCAATTATCGTTGGACAATTTATGTGTTTTTCAGATGCAGTGTGTCGCATTAAAATCACTTAGTTAATAAAATTTTTATTAGCATTAAATGTGGGCGAAATTCAGATTTGTTTTGAATTTTTTGCAAACTTTCACCTGCAAACACTTACAAAATGTCAATAACCTTAATCCTTGAAAGTGTCTTTCATAATTTATATCAATAACAGGTTGTTTGTAACTCCAACCTATTTATTTTGCATTAATTTTTGTGTGTAACGTTGTTAACATTTTTCACTGCTCTAGCGCTCCGGTGTTGCTGGGGGGAGTCATTTTTGGCAGAGGCGTGGTTGTAGATGCTATACGTGTATGCAAATTTGATGATATTTTGCTAAAATTATTTAGGTCCGACCCAGACCCGTGTTACAAACCTCAATTTGAAACCATAAAAATTCTTATCAATCAAAATTTGCACAAAAACGGGTTTAGGGGGCCGGGGATTCTTGCCACATAATTACATTTCAAAATGTGATTATTAAAATGTAAGAGTATGACAATAGATCTTATCTCCGACACAAAGTACAGACATTGTTTCAAAGATTTTATGAGTTTCTGACGAAATCATTTTAATTCAAAGGAAAACGAGTATCTGTGCGATCCCCTAAAATAAATATTTTTCGTTTTAAGATACCGATTTATCAGCATTAATAACAATAATCAGTGCTGGACAGTACCTTCCTAAAAATACCGAGATAAAATGTTGAGTATGTAGTGAAAGTAATCACGAGTTGATGGATATTGAAAAAAATGTATAAATATAACTTGGTTGCTTTCATATTTCGTGCATATAAAAATATTGTGTTTGTTATAATATCGGAAATCAAATCTTCTTTGTGTTATTCGACCTTTACTTTATAAAGGTATTAGATTTTCTAAAATCAATTAATAAAAGCAATAAATAACATCGTGCTATCTAAATCTTGATAATTCTATTTAATCAATAGATGCCAAGGTATATTATTTCAACATTATGTTTTTTGTCGTGTAATATTTAACCTAAATGTTTTAGACTAGACAAACTATTATTAAAAACGTGGGATCCTTAAATACACATAAGACAAAAGAGAGTAGTTTTAACGTCAAAAATTTTTATAGCAGTGTTTAATTTGATTGATGATTAGATTACAAATTTCAGTAAAAATTTAAAATACAATATGTATTTCCGTTAACTAATTTATCACGTAAACTAAAATTTAAAAATACGAACAAGGAAGTAGATATAGAAGGTAGAGTTATGCAATACGTTGTGTGATATGTCCTAATTTATGTTTGTACACAATTTATGCGTTCGCTGTGTGTTTTAGATATTTTTTTTTAGACAACTAGCTGAAAATTCTAGAAAAACAGATTAAAAATATTCGCGCTATATCCTGAAGTATGAATTATTATAATCCGTACAGTACAAAATTTAATGAACCGCCTTAAGTTTTTTATGAAAGAATTTTATGTTGAATGTTTATGAGTCATTTAGCTACTCTCTAACTACCTTATTGGTCTGGCGCCACACGAACCGTACCGATCGTACCGAGAGAGCAATGAAAACACGATTGCAGACAGCCATGAATTTTTGAAAGTTTGTCTTTGATCAATTTAAACTTTAAATTCGCGTTGATCTGATAAGACGAAAATTTTATCTTTGAAGATCCATGGCTGCCTTTGATCGTGTTTTTTATTACTTGCACGGTATCAGTGATGTTTGTACAAATTTGTTCTTAAGATATTTTTTTATTTTTATAGTGCAGTATTTTCTTTTTAAAGTCTACTTTATCCATGACTGTAAATTATACAAGAAATTAAAAATAAACGGAATATTTTACAAGCACTGATCCAATAAATGTGTGAATTTCATTTTCATCAGGATAACGGAAACTACTTGACTGATTGTAGTAAAATTTTAAATTTTAGGAATGTCCTATGTTAGATGGTAAAACGCTGACTATACCTAGTCTGATCGTCCCTATAAAACAACTGATGACGCATGTCAAAATTTTGTTAAATTTTCATTTAGTTGTTTATTTCTGGTTTAATAGTCCATATTTTGAATGATTTTATTTTTTTACAGTTTGTATTAAAATGTACGCGACTAACTTTTTGAAATTTTGCCAAGATACTAAATTTATTTAACGATTATAGTACAACAATTATAATTTATTTCTTCATTCCTTTAGAAAGGTGATGAATTCTTTATACAGGATACTAAAAATAATAATTAGCGAACCGATTACTTTTAGAAATTAAATAAAAAAACAATTCTATTTTGTATTTCAATATATAGGCTTATCCTAAAAAATTCCACAATGACTTTCTATAACTTATCTAAGAAACTGGATTTGCTTAATAGTGCTCATCGGTGAAGCAAGTTCTTTAGATCAATGTTTTTTATTTTTATCATTTGTTTCGTCAGATGTGCAACTGATGTATTGATGGATTGGTTTTTTATCGTCAGAGAAGTGTGATTTTTTTCTCATCTATCTTAAAATGTAAAAAAGCATGCACAAGGAGGCAATTTATAAATGATAATGGCCTTAGCAAGCGCTTCATTTCAATTGTTGGGTCAACATTAGGTACTTCAACGAAAATGAAACCAATTTGGATTTTTAAATATGTTTGTCATGTTTTTTTTTTGAAAATATTGTTAACACATGAGTAAGAAATATGCAAAGGTTACACATGGAAATTTTTGAGCAAATAAGTTTTGCTCAAAAATTTAATTGGTTATAAAGTGGGCGTATTATGTTGAGCAAACAAAATCAAATACTATCAATTTTGTGTCTGTAATTTGACTTTTTATCAAGATTGATATAGATTTTTCATTGTATAATTTGCTTCCTGCATAGCAAGGAGTTCTAAAGTATGTTGGATAAGTCAGTAAATTTAGAAAGAGTTTTATAGGAATGTTTTTTCGTTTTTTTTTTATTTTCTTAATTTAAATTCGAATGGACGAAAATACGTTATTTGTGTCACGTTTCTCGATAGATTTTTTCTAAAATCAAAACCAAAATCGTGCTCTACGTAACAAGTACCTGAATATATAATAGCAAATAGTCAAAAAAATAAATACAATTTCTACGGAATTGTGAACATAGAACATTAAAAAACAAGTAAATACCTTCGCTCATAATAAGTATATGTTTATATTCTCAACACACTATCACACACTTATTGTAAAGTCTTTTGCGCACACCAGTAACTTTTGGACTAATAGAAAATAATCTAAGTACTGAAACAATTATAGGGATCGACAAGTGGCTTATCTATTAGATATAGCAATCGCTAAATGATGTTAACAAATTAATTTCAAATACATTGTTCTCATACCTGCTGATAAAACAATGGAGATTTTTAATTTTCCGTTATTATCTGGGAGCAATCTATAGTTTATGAGATTCTGTATCCGTTTACTCATCTAAATAAAAAATGCGAATTTTTTATATAAAAATTACAGTAAAGTGCACTTCAGCAAAACAATCGGTCTCACAATTTGTAAAAATTTAAATTGCGACATTTTGAAATGTCACTCAAAATTCCATTTAACTATTATGTACATGTTATGTAGTAGTGATAAATTGATAGTACAATTATAATTCTGGACTTAAAAATGTGTAAAAAAAAAGGAAATACTAGTGATTATTATTAAATGTCCAATTTTTTAAGGTTATCAATACACTCACGAAAAGAACGCGTTAAAACGGATTCCTCTTGAAACAAGCCGCCTTAAAAAATTGACTTAGGTGCTTGAAGTAAGTTGTCCAGATAAAACTCCACGGCCTTATAGAAGTGAGAGAATGGCTAGAGATATTGAAAATGTCTAAACACCATTGCTTTAGCTTGAAAGAGGAAGCTTAATTTAGTATATGGTAAATATGGTTCACATATAGTGTGGGGGTCATGACGCAAACGGTTATTTTTTTAAATTGCTACATATACTTTTGTTAACTGATTATTAGAGACAATTAAATTACGATTACAATGATATAAAACACTTCTATGTGTTGTATTAATTTTAATTGAATATATGTACTTATAAATTATCTAAATGAAGAGATATATCTAGGTGTCATATACTGTCATACAATTACACTTCTAGTCTTAACTTTTAGCGTCAGAAATCTTGGACTACAATAATGCATAAACGATTTGACGTATTTGTGACATTTCGAATATATGTATGTTCAACAAATTGTTTTTGAAACAGATTTTACTAGTTTTTTGTTAAAGAAAGTAGTTTTCCTTTATTTCTTTCAGCTTCCATATCTGTGTCATAATTGCAAGGTACTAAATTAAGTCTCCACCTTCAAGCTAGAAGCAATGACGTTTACAGAATTTCAATATTTTTCTGTGAGTTTTATCTGTGACACCTGTGTGGTTTTGTTCTAAACACATATTTTCGAACACTGGTTAAACAAGTTAGGAAAATTTAAGGATTATTGATTTTTCATTTAGCAGTTTAGGGAATATTGTTAATTATTACCCAAACGAGACCTTTTTCAATATTTAAACTTAATCTTTTTCTAACATAAAGATGTTATCGATATCAGATAATAGGCGATCAAAGGATTATGCTTATAGTGGTTATGTGTCTTATAAATTCTCAGTTAATTCCGGAGTTCCGCAGGGCTCTAATCTTGGTCCTCTTTTATTCATTCTATTTATTAATGATCTACTCGAACAATTTAGTTGCCCAGTCCTTGCATACGCTGATGATATTAAACTATATCACTCCATTGGCAGTGCAGTTGATGTAGATATCTTGCAGAATAATATCAATCTGATGATTAGTTGGTGTGACATGTTTAAGTTGCCATTGAACAAGGAAAAATGTTTTCTTGTCAAATACAGCCGTAAAAAAACTTCAACTCAATCGTCCTATGTGTTGGGAAATCATATTATTAAGCAAAAGAATTGCATGAAGGATCTAGGAGTAACTTTTGATTCCGAATTATCATTTCTTCCACATCTAGAGGTTGTTTGCACATCGGCGTATAAATCATTAGGTTTTGTTATGAGAACATGTAGGCATTTTTCTGACTTAACTTTAATTAAACAACTTTATTTTGCATATGTGTTAAGTAAAATTGAGTATGCAAGTCTTGTATGGAACCCTATTTATGTATCTCATATTATGGCCTTAGAGAAAATTCACAGAAGGTTTTTAAAATATTTATCATTTAAAATTGATGGAGTTTATCCACAGATTGGTACTGATCAGCAAAATTTGCAAAGTCGACATAATATGAAGTCATTATTACAAAGGAGAGAAATGTGCTGTGCAAAATTTGCTTATAAGTTAATACACAATAAGATTGACTGTGCATTTTTACTTTCCAAATTACCATTTTATGTGCCACGTTTAGCATCACGATATGAAGCAAGTTTTCAAGTGCCAACGGCGAGAACAAATGTTTTACAACGTTCACCGATTCATGTCATGTGTAAAGCTGTAGATAATGTATATAATGATGTATTTTGTTAGGGACACCCAGAAATTTGTTATATTTTTTTCTTTTTTTATTGTTAATTTTCTTTATTTAACTTTATTTTGTTAAACACACATTGTTATTAATATTGTCCTATAAGTGGTAAATCTGTTGGACAATAAAGAACATATTATTATTATTATTATTATTATTATTATCCAGAAGTGTCAAGCCAAATTACTAAATTAATACAGAGATTGGACTGTTTTCTTTTAATGTACACAAACTTTAATATTTAAATTTTTTAAAATTGTTGCTCTATATCAAAAAAATTTTTACAAGCCAATATCAGCTGCACCCACTTTGTAATAACCTAATAACGCTTTTAAGTAAACACATTTAATTCCTTTGTTATTATATTATTATGTCGGCGTGTGTAATTTTTGGAACTTTTTTAAATAATCGTAAGCTTTAACTGACCTGAATTTTGGCCGTTGACACCTTTGAGTTCAATTTGATCTGGGTCACTAGTGTTGACTTTTTCGTAAAACATGATGTTGAATAAAAATATACTGATTGGAAACAAAATGTGGTGGAGTTTGAACAGCTTTTGGATCATAAATCTTAGCGATAAAGGTATTTATTTAATTTTATTGTTTTTTGTAATTTTCGTGGGGCGATTATTGTCAATGTTAAGTAATGATTATTAATATTTACTTATTATGTTATCTTATGATGCAAATTTGCTTTTTACAGCGAGGATTATACATGGTCTCTACGTGACAAATGGCTAAAAGTTGATAAAGTAAGTAGCTAACCTCTGTGCTGTGCAACAAAATTTAATTAGTTAATTAGCCACCTATCTTGAACGGATTAAGATCTATTTGTCCACATGCATTTAATGCAGACGCTGTCACCAGATTTTGGTGCATGGTCAAACCGAAAATTTGAAAAGAATAAGTGAAGTAAGTTAGTGGCACTTTGACGTAAGTTTAAATCGATAAGGTAATTTATATTATCATACCACTTGTGATAATTGTATAAAGCTTAAGTAATATTGTACTAAAAAACCGTAGGTATACTGTTGCTATAGACAACTATTAGTGTCTTCATGAAGTTTAAAAGTTGTGAATAGCCTTGTTATAAACGAAAGCTAGGATTAACTTTAGACAAGCAGATTAAAGTCGTTTCAGAAATTCAGCTTTTTGAGGACACGATTGTAGAATTTCATTTTTTGTGTTTCACACTATGTTTGTAATTGAATAATTGAAATAAGTTTTATTTACAGTGTTTTATTGAAAACTTTTAACTGATGGATAGCTTTCCTCCTTCACTGCGATTATTAATACATGGAATATTACTTGAACTGTTTCAGTGATGGTTATTATCACTGGGCGGAAAAATATCTTACGGATGCAATTCCCCAGTTGAAGCAAGGTGTGTTTTACGGCGAGTAGCGGGGACGCTTTGACCTGGTCCACAAGGTCGTAGCCAGTGCGTCGCTTGGAGTGTTTACAGCTTGTTAAAAAACTACTTCTATATTACTATATTACTTCAAATAAAAATACTCGATGCCCTTTTTAATTTTTCAAACACATGACCACAGATTTGTGATCTTGAAATGTTATATTATGTTGATATAGTCCAAAAGAAAAATATATTTGTAATCAAACTATCGCCGCGACAGCACTGGATCGAGCGTATGAAACACAATTCCGCGCGTTGGTTATTATGTTTGAATCGATGTTTTAAACATTTACTGTTTAAGTGGCGCTCTCATGTGGTGTAGTTGTATAAGCAGATCATTCATATAGACATATTGCGGTTTATACATTGGTTTTTTATATTTTTTCTATATCAAATCCACGTTTTCCCCGACCTTTTTTTTTTCGTCCTTTTTTTCATCTGATGTTATCTTTTTCTGGCATTCTTTGAACGTTGTCGTACTGTATGTGTTGTTTTTTGGTGATAATACCAAGGAAACCATCAAACTTTAGATAGAAATAATAAATTGGTTGAAATTTATGACTTCTGAATTATAAGTATTTCGTCTTGTTTTGACTATTCAGAACGTCACCACGCATTTCTGATATGCAAATCGACTTATTTTGCGAAAAGGAGACTATTGGGTATAAATTATGTTTTAATATGTGTAGACTTTTTTTCACAACATGAAGCTTAAATCATGCTTAAAATCAAAAATTTGTATAAGGAAATATCGATTTTGCAGTTAGGCTCCGCCCCATAATTGCAAAATCCATATTTCCTTGCAAAAATGTACTATTTTAACCATGTTTTAAGTTTCTTGTTGTGAAAAGATGGCTAAAAATATAAAAAAAAATGGAAAATATAAACCCCGCCCACCCGCCCCATCTCAATTCTGATGATTCTTTTTTATTCGTCGTGAGCCAAGAGCGCGAAGTTTAATTGCAAAATCCTCATTTCTCTACAAGAAATTACCATGTAAAACATGTTTTTGAGTATCGTGTTATTCAAAGAATACTATGTACATACATATTAAGAAAAAAAAAAGTTTTCATTCGTTAGCAGACCTAGAGGCGGAGCCTAATACCAAAATCCATATTTTCTTAGGAAAATTTACCATTTTAATCGTGCTTTAGATCTATAAGAATAAAAAAAAAATCATCAAAATTGAGATGGGGTGGGTGGCCGGGGATAATATTTTCGTCTCTTTCTTAATTTACATAGTATTCTTTGAACAACATGATACTCAAAAAATGTTTTTAATGTCTTGTAAAGAAATAAGTATTTTGCAGTTAAGCTCCTTGGTTCACGGCGAATAAAAAAAAAATCATCACAATAGGTGGGCGGGCTTACGTTTTGCTTTTATACATTGGTTTTCTTATTCTGTATCAACTACTAGGGTTTGCAGATTCAAAGAATTCTTTCAAAAACCTCAAAAATGTTACTTTTCAAGCTTTGTTTTGTTTTCTAGCGTTTCCGACAATCAACAGTCCCGAAAATACAAAAAAAAACTTTAGTTAGAAATTATATTTTTGTAAAAATTTATAAGTTTCGAACTACATTTCGATTTATTTTGACGATTCTGAACATAATGGCGCACTTGGTAAATACAGAATTGACTTATTTTGCGAAAAGGAGACGAATGGATACATTCCTCACCGTCTGGCGTTTGTAAATTTAAAAATTGTATCAAAAACTACAGAAATGTTACTTTTCAAGCCTTTTCTTGTGTTTTCTGACATTCTCAGCACCCCACGGGGCCAAAAATACCAAGAAAACCATCAGAATTTAATTAGAAATTATATCTCTTAAAAGTGAGAGGCGTCAATCTTCTGTTCGATAATATTCTGTTTAAGGAAGAATATATTCTTTCTTATCCACTCTCTTATCATTTTTCCGTATAATTATAATCAACTATACGTTAATCTAATATAGCTATCGCATTTTATTCGTCACTATTTCATTCCTCAGGTCAGGTCAGATCAGGTCAAGTCTCCATTTATTCATTCATTCGTTCATTCGTTCATTCGTTCATTCGTTCATTCGTTCATTCGTTCATTCGTTCATTCGTTCATTCGTTCATTCGTTCATTCGTTCATTCGTTCATTCGTTCATTCGTTCATTCGTTCATTCGTTCATTCGTTCATTCGTTCATTCGTTCATTCGTTCATTCGTTCATTCGTTCATTCGTTCATTCGTTCATTCGTTCATTCGTTCATTCGTTCATTCGTTCATTCGTTCATTCGTTCATTCGTTCATTCGTTCATTCGTTCATTCGCTCATTCGTTCATTCGTTCATTCGTTCATTTATAAAGCTCAACAGGTTATCTAGGCTTTGGGCATAACAAAATTTACTTATTTTTTACACTTCTGTTCACTGCCTTTATTCTTCAGTTCTCAATCCCTCTACCTCTCCGACCATCTTGCACATTTTCATTTCATCTTTTTCTTAGTCTTCCTTTCTTTTCTTTTTGCAATGGGTGGACGTCTCCGCAACACCAATTTGGGCATGCTTTCACTAGTTAATCTCTCTGTGTCTTAGCCATCATATTCTTTGAGCCTTTATTACACGAACTTGTATGTTCTTCTTTTAACTTTTATGGACACATTTGGAGCTTATTAAGGTGCTTAAATTTTCTAACTTTTTACATCCTTTAGCCATTTTTGCTTTTAGTTCATGCTCTTCGTGTCCTTTTTATATATTATTACCCTCAAATGCACACATTTTCCAATTTTTTACTTTCCGAGTAAAGCTAAGGAAGTATTGTAATCGAGTTTATCGGACGACTGGCCACTTTCATGTTTTCTTGACACCTAGAGCATGGAAAAATAGGTCTCTCATTTCCGTCTGTCTGTTTGCTGCCTGTTTTGCGGATTTTTATTATACGGATAATCTGCGCAACTATTGTACAGATTGTTGTCAAATTTTGAACGGATTGTTACGTTGATAGGTAAATAAAATCGGCGTGGGTTAAACTCAATAATTTATTTTTTAATAACTCGAATTTACAAGACTAACTATTGTAGCAAGTATCTACAAAATAATCTCGGCGGGACTTGTCTGGCTCTTCTTAACATTCGCTGGACTCGACTCGGCTGAATCATCTCTTTCCTGAAGATGGTCTCCATTTAAATCCATATTCCCTTCTCGATGTCCGCAATCGAGGTCTTTCTCGAATCCATCGCGACTTCCACTTCCAGGCCTTTCTTTAGCGAACATCGCTTCGACCGGCCGATGAGTCATATTACATACTAGAAGACCCATAGGCGTCGTACCGGGGCGACGTATGGATTTATTTCGTAACAGTATATTGAAAATCTCAAAAATTTGTTAGCAACAACCTGTTGACAACCCTTCAAAATTTTGAAGAACTTAAATTTCATAAAATAGTGTACTCCTCTGCTTGTGCTTTATGAATCCGCCATGTTTTGCTTATTCCTTTTATAATTGTTACTGTTTGAACTTAGTTCCTTTTTAGTCACATAATACGTAGCCACGCAAACCTACCTAACGATCCTGAGGTGGAGAAGAATGCCTTGCAGACGAAAGGTTTGAGGTTCGATCCCACAAGGTTTCTAGTTTTTTGTTATCAAATCAAGAACAGTTCACCCGGACAGTGTCACTATATTTAACAATAATAAAATAATAATTATCATAATAACAGCTCATCACCCAAAATAATATTCGGACCATTTAATTTATTCATCAGTCCTTTTCTCTGTTTTAAGGGGCAGAGAAAATCAATCAAATTTCATTTTTTTAACACAAATGCATGCGGCTGTTGATTTTTATGAACGTACGAAGTAGAATTCTTTCGAAATATGAATATAAACACTTGAAGTTAAGCATGTAGTTAAACATATTAGTGAGAGTACATTTTTTGATTATCAGCTTCAAATATTATTTTACATTGTCCGCACTTGTGAGGACCCGTGCAGGGGCTGTGGAGTCATTATGAACGCCACTGGTTTTTTACTTTATGGAGGTTATCACAAAACAAAAAACACAAAATAGAATTTTATGAATTTTCAAAAAATCGAGATTTGTTTTAGTTTTTTTTTAAGGAGCGGAGAAATTGTGTCGAAATAAACTTCAAGAGGTCAAGGGATTTAGGAGTTCTTATTGTTTTTTTTTTGTGTCTCACTTTTAATGCTCCCTAGTCCACTTGTTTTTCTTGTCTTCAAACTCTTGACTGATTTTTTGTTTATGTTTTCTGATGTTATTTATATTCTTTCACCTTCTATGTTTGCTTGTTATACAGGGAGTCTCAGTTAAAACTCCGTTGCCTTTTATATCTTGAGAATGGGTAGAAGCCTTGAAATTCTGCAAAAGCCATTGTTTTCAGCTTGACGATGAAACTTTATTTAGTACATTGCCAATATGTCGCACACCGCAAACATATATTTTTGTAAATTGCAACTTAAATAAAGCCCTTTATTTTATAATCAACAAGATCAGTTTCAAAACTTTCATTTTTTATGTTTATAAATTTTATTTTTTTATCATCTAAAAAATAAATATCTAAGTGTTGCTTATCATTGTAATTGCAATCTACCGGTATATCAAAATCCGTTTAAAAGAAACACATTTCATTTGATTGTTGTCAAACTTCATCTGTATGTTATGATTATGAATATGATGTAGATGGTAAACGCTAACTAAAATTTAGCTAATCATCTCCAACAACAATCTAAGAACTTTCTTCAATTTTTTTTTAGTGGACGCCGTTTAAATTTTATAAAATAACATACTCCTTTACTCGTGTTTTACGGATCTGTCTTGATTTTTAACTCTAGTCGCCCAGATTTTCGCAAAAATAATATTTAGAACATTTTTCGGTATTGCAGCTTAATTAATAATTTTGGTGGCCTCCTCTGTCTTGAGGTGAAAAAATTATTCAAATCAGTGTGACTAATTTTCTTACTTTTCTTCTAGCTCTTATGTATATTTACTTCTTATTTACTTCTTATTTATTTTGGATATGCTTCTTTTCTTTTATCCTCAACGTTTCAGTAGATATATGTATAGCTTGTTTCAGGTATTCATGTAATTCATCTGTATTCCAGAAAATTAGTTTATCCAGACTTGTTGATATAGGTTTTTTATATTCTTTTCTTTAAGCTCTTCAAAGTTTATGTGCTCCTTGACTATATTTCAGTCATGTCACTTTTATTTTCTTTCTGTATATATTGTTTTAATAAACAGTGGTCTAAACCGCAATTTACGCCTCTTAATTCTCTGAGATCCATTACTGTAGGTGGGTTTTTGTCGAACAATAACATAATCGATTATTGGTTTTAATTGTCTGGTAAGTTCGCTCCAGGTGTATTTAGTTCCTTGTTCCGACGTGAATCAACTATTATTAATAGTGTTTGTCTTAATGTTTACCGACGTTCAGTGATAATCGCAAAAAAAAAGATGGCGGCAATCGTATTACTCAAAAGTTATCTTTACATCTCAACGATCCCTAGAACTGCGAGTGGAAAGTTTTGATACACCTTTTAATCAAAAATGTTTTATTAAAACAGGAAATTACATATAAAGAGCAAAAGCTTCAACAGGGCTCAGAGAGGTCTAGGGTATGGAGAGGAAGCTCTGCACAATAAATAAGGATGTCATGATTGTTTGAAAAATTGAAAAGCTTAAAACCGTTCACACTTTGAAATCGGTATTTAGTGCTGCTGCAAAATTATTTGTATATATTATAATTTTTGACGGAAATATTACCAACATTTTTTTTTTGACACACTAGATCAGGTACTTAATTGGTTTAATAGGTAGGTGTTGTTTTGTTATTATTTTATGTCGTAAAAATATATTTATTATAAACAATTTTAAGTGTTTTTAATTAGTGTGACGTTATCATAATGAATACAAGTATTCATTATGATATATAGAGCATAGTTCAGTGTTGGTGTTCTATTTTGACGAACCAAACTAAATTTCGAAACCTTTTACTTTGAAAAGATTTTCCAAAATCAGATATCGAAATATCGAAAAGATCACTGATAAAATAAATTTTATTATTGTTTTTGTTAAATACGACGACAATGTTTTGTTGTTGTAGTGAATATGTCACACGTAAGCAATGAAAGTCAGCGTAAACAATTAATATCAGGTGTTCTTGTGTTAAGGTGTTTTGATTACTTTTAAAAAATCAATGGGAGCACTTCCAAATCTGAATCATAATAGCTTATGTAGATGAATCACTACCTTTTCATTGTTTGACGATGACGCAAAATTATAAAAAAAAAACATGTCAAGATTTTAACATTAAACGTAGTTAAAATTGGCCATCGTAAATAGAATTTTGTTATGGAAGTGCATTTCCAAAACTTCAAGAAAAAACAGTAATGTGCGTCAGATGTGCGTTATTATAAAAAAATGTAATGTTTTTTTAAGATAAGATTTACAAGAAATAACAATTGAGACATAAAAATGATAAAACAATGGACCATTTAAATGTGGAACTTAATCTCATCTATTATTTTTGATGTTGGTTGACTAAACAGTTATCAGGCTATAGAAATTCTAGCTACTAATATTAGCATGTAGTCAACATCAAGAACAGCACGGACTACATAGTAGCTATAAGGCCGTTATAAATGGAATAAAAAGTCTCACTCGAGTATGAAAATAATGTTTTACCCCATACTTGCAAAATTTTATCTACGGCTCATTTAAGTGGGATAGGTGATGATGTAGTGAGTAAGTGAGTATGGTAATACCTAGGCCGGGTGAATGTCGTCATAAATGTCCTACTCAAGGAAATTTCAAATGGGCACCATTGGTTAATTTACTCTTTTTAAAACATTTCAGATTAAATACACTAACTGTAATTAACAACAATCATTAATGGTAATTTTAAAGTCAAATACAATTTAAAATTAATTATATTTAGATGACTTTACTACACATTCAGTAAATGATGATATCAAAATCGAAACGTAAAATTTACTCGAGATAATCTCCAATAGTTCGGTGTTTAACTAGTAACTGAGACAAAATGCCGCTAAAAGTTGCATCATCTATTTTATCATGAGTTGGCGAGAAACTAATAAAGCGTCAGACTAGTTAAACACTCAAGATAATAATTATTTCCACTCATAATTACATTTTAAAATCGTTTATTAAAAAAACGATGGCAAAATCGCCAACTATTCAACCTAATTAAACGTATTAATTTACATTATTCGCTGAGTTTTGTATCAACGGAATTTGTTCTTGATTGGGGAAATTTGCGGAACTGTCGGCTTCTAGTTGCACAAACTTATAATTTGAGGCCATTTCAATGAATACCATCATGTCTGCAATCATGACGACGGCAAACAGAAAAAACTCTTGTGCCTGTAATTATGCAATTTTAATAATTGTGACAGTACTGCGTACAAAACAATTAGCGCAACAATTTCAACAAGTTCATTTCATTGATAAAAAAGATTATGCATGATCAATTTTATGATATTTCTCTGATAAGATCTCAGTATTGGAGGGATTAAATCATTAGAAAAATATCTTTAATTGTGTTTTGTTAAGCAAACAACATTAATCCTTGTTGCTAGAGGACTTTTTACCTGACTTTTAAAAAGATTTGCTTGAGTTATGAGTATGACTAAAAAGTTTCCTATAGCCACTGACAAATACCAACCGGCGATTGTTACCGTTTTCATGCTTTTGGGGGCCTGCAAAATAATTATAACTTTACTTTTTCATTCACGAGTTTTGATACCTGAGTGAATGAAAATTCCAATCCCGAGACACCAAAGAGGATTTCCGCTACAGATATAAGAAAGTATTGGGGAAGTAACCACAGAATATTAATTGTGTTAGGTTGAGACATGACGTATAATTTGAAAAACTAGAAAAATGGAATAACGAGATTAGTTGAATGGGTAACGGTTTAAGTGCACCTCGATTTTCATATTCCTTTCTCTCACAACTAAAGAGTATACACCTCCGAGATCTAAATTAAAACTTTCTTTATAGAGAATGGGCTTTTCCCTTGAAGCTACGACGCAATCGTATCTAAAAAAGAAGCATTATTTTACCATTATCTTTTGACACATTTCCTACATTCCTTGCGGTAATTCCATATAAGCCGAGTCTGCTAAAAAAGAAGAATTAGAGCTGTGCACAAAGTAAATGTCTTGAAATCCAGCTTGATTCTTTAAGGAGACTTTTACATCATGTAAATGTACGGAACTTTTGATATAAGCGATTCTAGCGACATATTCTTATTAAGTGTAACTTTCCAAGCAAAGAATTACCTTATTCTTGGTTTTCCACTTAGAGATTTTTGAAAATCGACAGGGTCTGTAATGAACGATTGGATCTTGTTTTCAGTATTTATACCAATGAGAACAGTGTCTGTCTATAAATACATATTAAACAAAAATTAAATGATTATTACCTTCTTACTTGTGATTCTTCTGCAAAAACTTCCAAGTTGTGTCTGTGTCGTCCAAAATAAATAGTTCCACATTTTTCTGAAGCTTCAACAAGTAAAGTGTATTTGGTGTAATTATCGCAAACAATATTTTCGAATCGGTGCATTCCACCTGTCACAATTTTCTGCACACCGTTAAAGGGATTGGCCACTTTCACGTCACATGGTAGAGTATTGATAATATTTACGGAAGCGTGTTTTTGCTCAGGTTGCTTAGGGTAAGTTGTTTCTAACACTAATTCTAATACACCAGCAGAAAGAAAAGCGGCACTGGCAAACATACCGCCCACTGCCATTCTATGCAATGCATTTTCCATGACATGTAGCTTCAAGAACCATGGGTTTATCACTTTGTCGAAAATAGGTATCAAAATTAAGACCATTGCTGGATTCACTACTTGCATTTGATCCGGTACTATTTGTATCCCTAAAACATTGCCATCCATATGAGAAGCCTGAAATTTACTGAATTTGTTCATTTTAAAATTTTTACAAAATACGTTGGACTTACTTGAAAGGTCCATCTAGATCCTTGTTGATCAAACAAAGACCAAAAAATTGGTAACGGAATATACAAAAACAAAACAGCGAACACCTTCTTCATGTCACTTATTAGTTTACCGCTGTATTTGTCCCTGGCGGTGTGTAGCCAATGTTTTCTTTTATTTCGGTTAGCTCTTGACTTACATCTTTTGACAAGAGCGTACTGCACTAAGTTTATAATAAGAAAACTAAAATAGAAACCACAAAGTCCATACCATTGTGCATTTAAAAAACTGAAGCATGACGTTTTCTTTTGGGGTTTTAAGTCGGTACCATGGTTTACCCATCACAAATAAAACTGTCGTGAGACGAAAGTTAAAGATCCGTTTTTTGAGTTTAATAATGTACCTACCTAGAGATAGTACCATTAGGGCTGCAGGAAAACCAAATCCTAGTGCGTAACATGTGTCGTCTCCAAAACATGAAACCCATTTTCGGAGTATTGGAGTTAAAATCATGCCAACAAAGCCTCCAAGGTTAATGGTGAAATAAAATAGCGAAAAAAAGTGTTGTAGGAGGTCCTTTTGGTCCGGTAGACGAAATTGGTCGCCTCCAAATGCCGCGACGCAAGGTTTTATGCCTCCAGTTCCCACTGATATCAAAAGTAAGCCCACTGCTGAAAGGGTACTAAAAACTTAAGTATTATTGATCTTATTGCAAAGACTAGTAATTGTAATTTTGTTATAGAGTACGAAGGATACTTACATTGAAGAAAGTTCTAAGATAGGTATGGCTCCCATGCACATTAAAATATTTCCGACGAGGTAGATAAAAGAGAAGTAGAGAATAGTGCTAAAATGAAATTTGAATATTTTATTAAAAGATAACTGTTTTATAAAATTTGTATTATCTGTATTGTCTTGGTTGTGGGTTGGTGCAAAATGTATTAGATTTTGTTGAACAGACTATATTTTGTTTATGGGTAATGGAGCTAAACTCGATTTTACCGCAGATCACTAAAAATTATCTTAAACTCATACTTGGTCTATTGTTTTGTGTAGCAAGTTTTGTAGGAACAATTGTCATTGCAATTTAATTTTAAAAATGTCTCCGATTCTTTCTAAGCCCTTACATTGCTTAAAAAATATATACAGTGTGATTTTTAACGTATATAATATAACTTAGGAACCGCTAGAGGTACAGCTTTGAAATTTAAAACGTGAGATGAGTAATCAGATGATGTTCATTGACGTCATAGTAACGTGCTCTGATCTTGAAATTTCGAAACAATGACATATACGTAAAAACATTAAATAGCATGGATGATCGAATGACCCCTTTTTAGAGAGCTGATTCTGATTTGTCGATTTTTATTAGAGACATCATCTCCGAAACTACTGGACCGATTGTTAAAAAAAAAACGCTAACCAAAATTTGGCTAATGATCTCACCAACAATTTAATGACGTCCGCTCATCATACTGGATCATTAACCTTATCAAAATTGTATGAAATAATATACTCCTCTACTTATTGTTTCCGAATCTAGCTTGATTTTGTTTATTGCCATTAGATTTATTTATTGTTTAATCTGCCCTGTTTTTTCCACACAAAGTAGGCAACTGTGTTACAGCTAGATGAATTAGTTTGTAAAGCACCCGTCTCTCAATCTAAGGTGGAGCGTTAGAACCAGATTTGTTTTATTAGATGAAGTAAATTTAATAAAATTAATCACTCTCTAGTTTTTTATTGATCAAATTAAGAACGCGGTCACCCCATTTTCTCGAAAATGGCATAATACCAACGTCTTTATTTAAGTAATAATGATAAAATAAGATTTATAGTAACAATATTCAGAACATTTTGTTCGATTGTGATTTAATTACTAATTTTAGTATTCTGTTTTGAACAAACAAACTCATTCAAATCAAACAAATTTCTACTTGACATTCTTTCGATATATAAACATAAACATTGGAAGTTAAGCGTGTTATTATTGCTGAGAGAATTGTTGTCCCGTTGGTTATCTGCTTTAAATATATTGTCATTGTTCGTACCTATGCGGACCGCGTTCCCTTATAAAGGTTATCACAAAACAAAAATTGCAAAATCAAACAAAATAAACTTCGACCATTTTTTAAATTTAAATAAAGCAGATAACAGGTTTGACTTCTGTCAAGAGGTCCAAGGGGTTCATGTCGAGTATTTATTAAGATAACATATGTTTTTAAGTAAATATGTTTTTGCTGCATCGATGACTCGGTGGTTCCAAAGTTAATTAAGTGACAGGGGGAGGGGGGCTGACTTTAAAGCAGCACTGCATTCTGTCGCTTTTAAAGAATTTTTTTTTCATGAAAGCAAAAGTTTCTTCGTTATATTTAAAAATTAATAAACGTTGACACTCAAGGCTTTATGTTGCAATACTACTTTTATTTTTGAAAATTTTCCTTGCATTAACTGCATGCACTTTAAGTAGATATATTTTATTAAATAAATTGTCAAATCATGATAAACTGTCTAATTCATTCGTATCTCAACGAGTACCAATTACACAACACGGGAATCCTCTTCATAACTATATTTTTCAATAGATAATTTGTTGATCATCTTTCCATAATCTTCAAGTGTTTTTTATGACAATAATTAAAAGAAATATCATTTTTACACTGTATTGCTCAATAAACAGGGTGTTGTGGTATCCCGAATTTGAAATTAAAATTTCGCGCCTAGAGGAAAACATACAACGTCGCGAAAGTGTTCAAGTGTGTTTAAAGCGGTAGAGAGATTGACAGAAGGCCTCAGGACCTTGAAAATTATCATCTGTTAAATTAATATCACCGCGGACTCAAATGACTGAGATATTTTATGCTTATGTTGTATTAATGTGCTATTTCGTTATGACCATAATTATTTTCTCACAACTTGAATTTGAACATTTATTCTCGAATTATTATTTTGATTTTGACTGTATTGAATATGTGCTTTATTATTTAAACATCTTGCTACACTGCTACAGTGTGGTGTAAGTAAGATTTTTGAACTTTTTTTTAATCAACAATAACAAAATGAACGAGTTGAAGTTCATCAGTCAACTGCAACAATGTTAGCAGGGGTAGTTCATTGCAGGTTGACACTTTTTCCTTTCTAAATTCCTGGGGTACCTTCTTTTTCGTGCACTTGCCCTTTGGCTTAGCAGACACCGAGAAAGTGGATGATGTGGTCAACTATATAGCAACCCTTGCCTCACGAGTATGGGTATGTGGTGCAGCTCGGGAATCTCGCAACACAATATAACGCTGTAAACTCAGGATAACTCAATCGCCTTGATCAGAGCCGTCGATCCTGTAACCGCGATTTTGCTCCCGATACAGACTTTGCTTTTGTTCATATTTAAATTAAATACTATCGTAATTAATAACTTATGTACTACAATCCAGTTACTTTGATGACGATTTATTTTCCTTTTTGTGTGTTTAAATTTGTGACATTCAAAAATTTGTTTTGATTTGTTTACTTGATGTCATCTTTGAAAGCTGAGGGAGGATTTTACAGATGGGAAATAAGTGTCGTACAGCTTATTTTTACAGTTTTTCGTTCTCAAATAACAGGAAAATTTTGGGAATTACTCATCACGGAAGTTGGCAGGAAAAAAAACACTAATTTAGTAGTCCATTATATTCAAATACTAGTAACAATATATTTATTATGTACGAAAATTTGTGGCAGTTTATACGAATGAGAAATAAATCAATTAAAAATTACACACTTTTTAACTGTCATTACTTATCTTATCACTGATGTCTGAAGCCAGTGATACGGTCTAAGATTTTATTAATTTTCAAAAAAAAAAAATCTATACACTTAGTTCAGATTTTCAAAATGTAGTAAGAAATTAAACTTTTTAAATTTGTTTTTCGCCATCGTAATGTGTTAATTACCAGGGTTAACTTCCCTGCAAGAACTGAAATTAATATCAACAACATAACTCGGAGCTGTTTTCCAAACCGTTGATCCTTGCAGGTATTTTTTTAAGTCCTACACATCTCTAGTTAGTTTCTTTAAAGATAACATTTATTTTGAACTAAGGATAACAAACTCCCGTTATGCTGTGCCGTGTATTTGACATCAAAGAATGTTGTAACTCAAAAATCGATTTCTTTGTCTTATATACGAAACTGAAATTACATTTTTGATTTTCCTTTTGTATAATCCCCAAATTTTTATTAAACTCGTCTTTTATTACATGTTAACGAATAAGAAGGGTATTCTTTGAGAATCTAAATTCGAGACACACTGCTCATAAATATCTAGATTTTTATTATATTATATATGTTTCTCTAATCTCTTTTTTGATAAGTAAACAAATTTTAGTGCTTTATCATCTAGACGAAATTTCTAACATATAAAATTTGACAATAATGGGGCCGATAGTTTTGAAAGTTATCTGTCTAAAAAAAATCCATTCAGGCGGGCAGATAGACAGGCGATAGACAGACGACAAACGGACGAAAACGGAGACCTATTTTTTCACACTTTAGGCGCCCTAACACGTCGAGAAAACATGAAAAAGCCATTCGTTGGATGGTCCCTATTAGAACAATTGTTGTTGTTGAGAGCAACAATGCACATAACACAACGAGCTTAATATTATGATATAAAATTTCTAGTACTGCCTTACGTTTTATTAAAATTGTAGGTGTATTATTTTGTAGCAACAATTTAATCTAATGATCGATTGGCTATATTTATCATTTTATTTTTAATAACGCTGTTCAAAACGCGATATGAAATTCCGCTCAATTTTTTTTCATTAATCTGATATTTCCTCTGCACGTTCCACATTCAGTTCGTTTCATTTCTAGTTGTATTCTTGTTCTCTAAAGGTTACCTATTTAATCTTATATACATTAAAAGTGATGACGCAATAACGTTAGTAGGTATAGCTGCTGCACACATCAAACATTTGTAATATATCAACAACAAATTTTAAAAAATGTTGTCACTAAATATTTGGAAACTTTTAGCCGAACACAAAATTGTATATTTAATAACTGTTCTTACCTGTATCTTCCTAAAATACTATCAGCACACACTGCCCCAGCTAATGGCACAATATAGCATATCATTATAAAAACATGATAAATTACGGTGGAGCAGTTCTCTGAAAATAGGAGTTCATTTCTGAGATAAATTGAAAGTATGGCTAAAAAGCAAATTAGTATTTTATTAAGCACATCCATTTCCATCTAATTTATAACCATACTTCGTAAGCCACAAAAGGAAAATCTTTCACAAAACTCGGTAGCGATTATGCAAAACACAGCCGTGGGATAAGAGCTTTCCTAAAAGTCGACAACAAAATAACTTAAATGGTAAAAACAGCACACCCACACTCACGAAACTCATTTTCAAGCATTATTATCAACGTCATAAATCTGTCAATGTCAAAATGCGAAATTAAATGGAAGCCGAATTTTCACGTTTTTATTACAACTTATAAAATCTACATACATTTTACATTGCAAGTATGTTACATTATTGCCCACAAAAAGCTTCTGCAAATAAAGACATAATATTTATTTTCTGTGCGTGTTTTCTACAATGTTATGTTTAGAAGAATGAGTATAAGTTTTGGTATAAATTCGTTCAATTTATTATAAAATCATAGTAAAAATTTTGATTTAGTTCTTCTAAATATAATATTATATAAACGTTTTTTAGTCTAATATATTTTGTGTTACATATGGACCATCGATATTTTTTATTATTTATTTATCACAACATTTATAATGTATATAATATAAGAATACATATTTCCATTTAGAATACCGCTTATCCTCTGAAGCAGAGGGTAAAATTAAGAAAATACTACAGCATTTGTATGGCAGATTTTTAAGGAGGTCGTGGGTGAAACTAGGGATAAGTATATTACGTAGGAAAATCTGCCTCACAAATTTCTAAATAATAACAGTGTTACAAAAATAAAATGCACATTGAACACATTAATAATACAAATAGAGTACTTTACAAGTTATTACATTTACAATTAAATTTATAAAGTTGGACATTTATTACACATGTAGTTAAATACATCATAAGATTTTTTACTGCTTTTCAATAACGCAATGTGGTCCAGATTTACCTCGAAATAGCACAAAAGGCTTATGGAAGATCAATCAACCACCATGTTCGATGTCTATAAATTTATAAAAATTTTTATTTTGGATTAATAAAAAAAAAACAATATCCTGAATTCCTGGCACTTCAAGCACAAAACTTCAGCCGATAGAAATTACCAAAATTACACAAGCAATCTAGTGAACTTTTGTTTTTGGTAATGTCAAATTTTGTCAAAATCATTTGTAAGTTGTAAGTACTTGACAATAAATTTTTCTTTTGAAATGCAAGACAAGGCAACGTACCTTTTACAGTCTAATTACATGACTAAAGAGTTTTTGTCCAAAGCGTGTTCCGATTTCATGGAGGATATCCTTCGCAAAACTTTTGATGAAGAAGAGCCTCTGAGTCAAGCTCCGATAAAATGTTCTCAGGAGACACAAACAAATGCAGCAGATTTTACTCTCCCCATGAAGAAAAAACGCTTTTTATTCTAATTACCTTTGATATAAAATTGTAATAAAAATTAACTAGACTTTCCGTGCTTAATTAAATCAAACGCATTCTTGAAAAGCAGCTGATGACATACCTAATAACCTCCGTTTATTATGTGATCAATCAGTTCTAACTTCATCATTAATAAAAATTCAATCATAATCACCAACAATCCATTTAGCACAATGGTCCCTTATCACATTATATTACAGTTTAATTTCTATCTTCGTTAGAGAGATCACAGCTGGGAAGAAGGCAACATTTATTATATGTTCCGACCATTTTCCGTGTAATTTGTCTCTAGATAATTTTATTGGACAGAGGGCTATTTCGTGTTTCTGCTACTTAAATTATAGAATGCTAGTTTTGGCATACATGAGTAACAAACATCAAAGAATTGTTAAAACAATATTTTATTTGATGTATGCACTGATCTTTGCCAAAACGTTACATCTGTTACAAGTGATTTGTTTTACAATTCGTTAATTTGCCTTGGTTTAGTGTATAACAGAGTTGATATTTTGCTCGAGAAAATTTCGATCCCAGTTTCAAAATTTGAAGTGAGCATTGAACTTCAAATTCCACAGTTCTTAAGCATTAGGGGTATTTTCAACAGGAAGGGAATGGTACATTTATATATATACATAAATATATGAAAACATTTCGAGTAGATTTACACATAAATATAGTTGGTGCGATTAAATTTAGTTAATATTTTGATAATAAAATACCATTTTGATAAATTTCAGTATTGTCTACCATTAAAGTAAAGTAACGTTGCGATAGGCACTCAGGTATTAGGTCCGCAAAAATTTTGAACTATATTTTGATTTTCTTAGCGACTGATAGCGGATTCCATCTTTAATGTTCTAAGTGCAAATCGATAAAATCAAAAATATAGTCATAAATTCTCCGCATTACTTGCAACAATGTATCTTGGATCTTACTGTAAACTTGTTTATTGCATAAAACAATGTGAGTTTAAATTATCTATGGCCGGATAATCTTAACGGATGATCAGTCAAATAAAAATACCAACTTTCCTTGTTACTAATTTAACGTTTTTTATTATTTTAAAGTAACTTTGCTGGTGATAAGTCACATTTAAAGCGTTTAAGAGGTAAAAATGTGCGAAAGGAAATTCAATGAGTATTTTTAAGGAATTGTGGATAATGAATTGCCATATCAGATTTAATTTAACATTATTACACACACAAAAAACACGAAAATTTTATTGTTAACAAAGTTTCCTGTTGTAGATGTAAACATCTAAATTATTGTTAAACTGATAAACATTTAAGATAAAATTTGGTGATCCCTAACTGTATAGTTATATTTTTCGAACTTGGATCCAAATAATTTAAAGGTCTCTGGAGATCTTTATCTCGATTATCACAAAAGCTCTTATAAAATTTTATACCAAGTTAGTGTGATAACAAAAAATTTCACCTTTAAAAATTCATTTATCTTTTGTTATATATGTGTCTTGCAAGGCGCATACTTAAATACCTACCATTTGTAACATATAAATAGAAATGCAATGATAATTGTGGTGATAAATAATTAAGAAACTGATAAAACCTTTACGCTTATAAAAGTAATAAAAAAAGGATAGCAGCACATGCGGCAACGAAGCAATCTTATCTTTCGATGTAGTATAAAGATTGTATTTAAATTAATACAAAGTTTGTCATTTAATAATTTTAAGAGTACATATCTGCATGTAAGTCATCTTTATCAGCACTGGATTCTTATCACGTTCTTTATGAAGACACTTAAAAGTTAGTGATGCTATATAAAACTAAAAATCATCCGAATAATTATCTATTAATTAATAAATTTCCACTTAGTTTTGACAAATGAATGACACAAAATAGTGTTTACAAAAAAATTAAAAAAAACTGCACATACCACAGTTGTGTGAGTAACTAAAGCTGTGTTCAGGCAAGTAAAATTTATGAAATTTTTACTAGGATGCTTATTTCGTTTCATTATTTAAAATACCTTAGTCTAAAACTTTTCATTCCAGTTTAGTACGGTGTTTTTAATTTTTGTAGAGCTAATGAGAAATTGAAACCAAAGTTTTTATTTTCAAAAAGAAAATTCGAAAATTAGTGCTTTCAAATAAATGACAACAGAATTTATATTATATCTTATTTAAAAATTACACATACAGATAACACATCGTAAAACATTGTAAAAAACTGCCGTGCGTAAGAATTATAAAGAACAAATCGTATTGGTTCGTAAATAGTGGCGTGCAATATTATAATATTGAAATAATTCCATTACATATAGTAGAATTTATACAACCAACAAAACACATTAGTGCTCCCCTTGATGACAGAAGTTTTAAAAGCGCATTTCAAGAAAATTAAGATGTGCCTTAAAAAATCTGCTGTATTAAGTAATGCTGACTACAATTTAACAATTTGTTGTAAGTTTGCTCAAAATCATCATGTTCTTTGGGTAATTAAGTCAGAATTAAAATTTTGGAATTCAAATCAAAAATGATTTATTTAACAGGTTGTCCATAATTATTTTTAATTACCTTATAATATTGTAACTTGTGTTAAATAATACTCCTATTATTCTTTTTCAATGTAACTTACCTTATCTTCAGCTAGAGGTTATTTTTAAACAATAGGATAATAAGTATTTTTTGTAACCTGATTTTTTTCATTTAATAGATTTAACGCTTTTCACCAAATCTGTTGTGGTGACCAAATTTGAGTTAAAATTTCGCACTGAAAAAAAATAGCGGCGCGGAATCGCATTTGAATAATTTGAATTAAAAAAAAATTCAAACAAGAAAGTCGTTAAATGTAGGCAATCATGTGCACGTTTAGTTCTTTCTGGTAGTTGGTAGCGCTCCTAGGGAATTTTTGAGTAGTACATAGTGAGAGGGTTGGTAGAAGTTGGTTGGCTAGGTAGAGGGGGGAGATGCGTCATTCTGTTCGGGCGCGTCCCTGTTGTTTTGTTTTGGTGAGTGAAAATACGCGGTAAGGAAGCTAGGTTAACTTTAGTTGGTTTGGCAGTTAATAAAAAGGGGAAGCCTTTGTTTAACAAAAATTAATCGAATCGATTGCGATGCCACAGCTTCCCTACACACGTAGCTAATTCTTCCGTTTTTCCAAATTTGTTTTATTTTTTGTAAATTCACAGATCATATTAGGATTTTAATCGTTAACTAGTTCTAACACAATTTAACAGTCATAAGTTTGATTTCACGAAATTCACTTAGTTAGGACTCATCCTTTGTTTATCAAGTTATAAATAAGGTTTCTGGATTCTTATACTTACATTATAACACTTCTCAAATCCTCACACAAGATTGCTAATAGTTCATTTACGACAGTTAAATTAACCTAACGTTGTCCCACTTTGGGAAAGGGACCTTGGAAAGTGCGGTAGAATTTATAATATCGTGGACTGCGGCACGGAGGGATTAATCATCAACTCATCGAGACATATTTATTTCTCGCTACGTTGGAAATTATATGACAGAGAAGCATTTTTCGTGACGCTGGATGCATTTTGTGCTTATTTATCGTGTGTTTTGTTTGGGATGAGCTGGGGACAGTGCACTATATAAACTTTCAAAACTAATTGTTTTATGTAACCAATCGCTTGGATAATGGCATGATTTAGCATCATGTAAACTCTTTGTTTGAATCGTTGATAAAGTGTGGCAAATATTAAACTCATGTACCTAATTTTTTTCTAAGCTTTTTAAGCTTTGCAATTTTTCTCTATCTCACAATTTTAGCCTCAATAATTTGCCTTGCTGCATAATTTAAATTGAACATAAATTTTCATGCTCTGCAGTTCCTAACCTCACGTAATATTTTTGTCTGCACAAGTTTTACTTCACACCAGATTTTTTTTTTTTGGTTTTATAAACCTTTGGTAGTTTTTCTTACCTTGTAAATATTTTGTTGATTAATGCTTCCATCATATAAATTGTCTGATTTCCAATCTTAATCTCAGATAAGAATTCTTTGCTGTTTCAAATTTCACGAGAGTGTTTGCGAATTCAAATGTTTATTGTTCTTTTTGAAACTTTTAATACTTGTTCGTTTGTAGTTTAATATCGGAGTTATAGAAATTGAACATTTAAATGGAATTGAGGCAAATAACACAGAAACACGTGGCGGAAGCGGCGTGCGCGGTTCCTTGTCGAGCTGGCAATTGTACCATCTACACGAAAGATGCTAGCCTTGAATAGAAGTCAGGGGAACGCTCAGAATGACGTGACGCTGTCAGCTTATCTATAGCCGTGATTTCCAACCACGACTTTGCGACAGTAACGGCCTGTTAGCGCGTTAGATAGAGGTGTGCTAAGCGGCATGTGCTTGCCGATACGATAGAGTAGAATCACCGTGTAGGTAGGAGAACAACCTCAACCAGGAGCCCCAAATTCGATAGTTCCATCGCCATACTCTTATAACGTTCTGGTGTCGCTGTCGCTGTGCGCATCGCTGTGTACAGTTTGTGTTAAAATTTTGCCATAATTTAAATTTGCCGCCGCACGTCTGTAATAACTTGTGTATTTACATCCAGTTACTTTAATTCAGATTTTTCTTTCTTTTTATTAAATTTGTGATATTCAAATATTTGCATTGATTCTGAAAGTTTAATTTGATTTCATTCAAAGTTAGGCAAGTTTTCTTTGTAGCTGAGCATTAAGAGGTGTCTTCAACCGGCACAACTTAGTTGCAGCTTTTTTTTCTTTTTTTGTCAGTGAAGGAATAAATGATTTTATGTCTTCCATATATTTTGTGTTTTATTTAGCGGTACTTTTCCAACCTTGGGGTCCGTCACTTCCATCTGAACGCATTCCACCACAAAAAAAACAAACACAATGTAGGGTTCCATTTTGTTAGACGATTACAGCCAAAGCTAAATTTTCGAATTTTTAAATTTTTCGCGGGTTTTTTAATTTTTTTTTCACATGTCATTTTAAGGGGGGATGTTTGGGTTATCACACTGTCAAATATCTAGAAATTATACACAGCAGTATGGATTAATAAAACACATGCGTTTTTCACTCTGTGTTCTTGTAAATTAAAAAAATTTAATTTGAATTTTTCAACTGAACACCCGTTACCGAGCAATGTATGAAAAGAAGTTTTAAGAATTTGATATTTATCATTCACTATTGGCTTATATGTATTTTATGTATTGTTACACTTGTGCACGCCATTTTAGTTAAAATCTTAATTAAAAAAAGGTGCCAAATTAAAAGGAAATAAATTAACCTACAGTACGTTTTTTATTTTAGTTTGAAAACAAAACTAAAATTAGGTTAAATTAAAATCTGTCTGTTTTAAGAATTCCATATTCTTGTAAAACCGTGACGAATAATACTTCTCAAACGTTACTACTTTTGTCTCGCTTTCTCTCATTGCAGTTGAGATGGTACGTATTGCCTAGGATTTTAGGGACGGTCCTAAAGATCTACTGGAACGTTCGTACAAACCAAAAGTTCTCAAACCAAAAACTGTTAAACTTGAAAAGGAGGTGTTTAATGGAGCAGATGAAATGTAAATTTTAAGTTAATGTTATGTTTAATTTTCAGAATACGTTTTGCTCACTTTTTTTGTTTGTTGTATATTATAAATTATTATAGAGCCTGCAACAATACATAACTGTTTGAGAATCTCTGTCAAATTTCGGGTTTCACTCCGACAGACGGAGCTATCTGTTTTCTCTACCGCAGATCCGCTAAAGTTAAAATGAGATAGCGCTTTGTTGTTCTTGTTTCTCACGGCACAACGCAAAGTTTCGTGGTGGAAAAAAGAGAGAATGAGTTTTACGATATCATGGAAAAATTAAAATAGACGGACTGTGCTTAACAACATTTTTTTTTGGTAAAAATTAATTTATTTGATTAATTTGAATTTAATTCTAAAATTTAAAAATTTCTGCCCTTTCTAACAAAAACAGTCATAAAAAAAAATGTGAAAATGGTAATTAAAAGAAAATAATTAACACCAAAAAAATACGTCTCTTGATTTAAAACAATTAAAACAAACGGTTTTTTATTCACTAACATCTCTACTCACACCCCATTTAAATTCAGTAAAAGCTGCTGTTCTAGTTTGATAACAACGAATATGTCGAATGGTAACGTTTTCTGTCTAAGGTCAGTTAAATAAGCATCAAAAGATGACGCCACTCGATTTAAATCAATTGATTTTCATTTAGTATTATTCAAACAGGGATTTATTTTGACCTAGTTATCATTGTACCCATATCTGCCTTACCCAAATAAAAAATATGCGCCCATAAAATAATACCATATATGTACAGCGTGATCAACAAGTACCGTTTGAGTTGGCAATAGAATTAACCAATTCTGAGAAAATTTTCTCACACTTTTAAGCGCTCAAGAAAGTTTGGTTATGACATTTTAAAATCGATAACAAATTGTGTCTTGAATTATTAAATGTCACTGTCAACCATGTCAGTTTTGCCAACAGGAAGTACGGTGGAGTAACAATGTAAAGCAAAATTCGTTGATATCAACTGAAACAGTAATTATTGTTGATCACTCTGTATAATATATCATGTGATAACGTTGCAGAAACATACTTTTAATGGGTCCTTTATTGAGATTGAGAACGTTGTTTGTGTCTATACAAATTGTATTGCCCTGTACCCCTAAATGTGGCAATTACTGTGTAAAGGGATCCTAAATCCTAAATGAGAGCACGGACTTTCGATAATAAATCGCGACAAATAATGCAGACACTCGTTCATAATGTAAATTAGTATAATTTTGATCCTGTTTGACTTAAAAATACTCAGTGAATTTAATTAATTGTAGCAGACTTTAATTAATGTGCTATGGACGGTCTTACATTACCGGACAATTATTAATGTGCGTAGTGTTATTTATTTTATTTTAAGCATAAATGGTGGAGGTGCCGGGTTATATTAATACTTTATTTAAACGGCAACCCTATATTATTTTGCTAATTTTTAAACTTTAACAAACAAGCTAAACATTTTGTACTAGCAGCAGGTAAGCGTTAAGCAGATGACAATTTATGGGTTTTGTCTGATTCCTTAAATGAAATGCTTTTTGTAATATTCACCCTTCTAAAGCGTCGCGAGAACTTGACTGAATGAAAATAATCTCAAGGATCTCTCGACGCTTTTATGAATGGAATCATAGATCTCGTAAGGCAGTTAATTATAATAACAATAAACGAATTAAGTTTAGACACATCGCAAAATATGTTGTATTAAATTACGCGTCAGTCTTTCGAAGGAATTTTCATAACGATTAATTAAAGCTTCAAAAAGGCGTTAAAAACTGCGCATGTGCAGTAAATTAAGATCCAAGGTACATCGATTAAGATGGTTTATTTGTGTTTAGCAAACTTTCAAACATGTTTGCAAATGATTTAAAACCCGTTCGAGTTTGTGAAACTTACGTAGAACGATAAAATAAATCCACTGGATTTAGCGGAATGTTTTCAGTAATAAAGCTGAAATTAACGTAATACTGACTTTTTGGAATGTTTGTAGATGTTGTGCATACGTAGTATACTTTTAGAGTCCAGTTACTTTAAATAAATTAAGTTGTTAACTTCGGCAAAACTAGAACTTGATTTACATTAGCCAGTCTTTTATTTGAACGTTGTGGGCAACATGTGAACAGTCTAAAATATTTTTTTATTTATACGGAAATACAAATGGTAAAAATATATATTTTATTTAATACAAAATTGATGAACCAACAATGATAGTATGGATGAAACAGAAAACTAATGCCCCGTGACGACTATAACACGTGCGAATTAAATGCAAATGTCAAGCTTTAGTGGGTTAGTCAAAAAGCAACGACCTCGTTAATACCATACAGAAAGATGTCTCATCAAATAGTGATGTCATTTATTACAATTTTAGTTATTGATGCTGTCGATACATTGAGTTTTAATAAGCTTCAACAGATTTGTCACGTTTGAACAGCTTTTTAAAACATTAAGTTAAAGTTTTAAGCTTTTTTCTCTCTACTAGTAAAACAACATAAACTGAAAACTCAACAGTGCAAAAAAAGACATAGAAAATTTTGGATTATTTTTCCTGTTGTTAAAATGTGTAAGGTATTAAGGAAATGCAAATGTTTACGTTTATTGATCTAAAATCTTCTAAACTATACTTCTTAGATTCGACGTAAATACGTAATAAAGATTTTCAGTTGTACGAAATAACAAAATTTGTCTTTAAAACACCAACTTAATATAAAATTAAAAATTAAAATTACTCAAAATAAAAAATGTCTTAAACTGGAGTCCTTATTTAAGTTTACTTAAGTTAATAAATTCATTTTTGGATAAATTATATACATTTCGTGATAATACTTTGGGTGCCAACTACCATATGATCGACAAAAAACGTTGTGTAATCAGCTACGGAATTAATACAAAAAAAAGTGTGTTGGGAAAGTCTACGCTGTCACAGTTCTTCCTTTTTAAGGTTATGGAAAATTATTCCTTCTGTTTTTTTTGATTAGACTGACAATATAAATGACAAATTTATGATCTTTATATCAACTTCGTGCCACGAGAATTATATCGGATTTGTATACCTTTTTTGACATTTTTGACAGTTGTTTGAAATTTATTATCAATTTCAAGAAAAAAAAAAGACAAAGAAAAAGGAAGGACATCTTGTAAAATAAACGGTAAACTCACGAATAGTGTTAAAGCCCGATAGGGGTTTGCATTTTTATGGAATTGTGGCTCACCCTTCAAGAAGTGAAGAATGAAATAAAATTTTCCAAAATTTTTCGAAAGATATTCCACTCAAGCAGAAATAAAAGCAACTACAGAAGTATTATAAATAACTTGTTACCTGAAAGTTTCCAGAGCGTTCCAATCTTGAGAATAGCACTAACAGCAGGTTTTTTTATGTCACGAATATCCTGAAAACATTTACCTGCATAATAAATAAAAATACTTCTAAATTATCGGATACTGTGTACCTACAACCTCAGTTAACAACTACTACGAGCTAATGCATCTACTGCAATTTTATTTTTTCTTTATTACGGATTATCATCTAATCCCAATTTAAAGAATCTAAATAAATGTAAAATTAATTAAATTAGCATTGTTAATGCCAATTTTAGAAAATCTACTGTGCTTTTATTACAAATATAATTAGATTTGTTTACTCCAGCTGTTTATTAACTTTGTGCATTTCGAACAGTTGCCTCAAAAAAGTTCCACACAACCTTTAATAAACAGCTGAACTAAACAGATCTAGTTACTTATATTTGTTTTGAAAATGAAGTTTTTCAAATAACTCGCAATGTAAAAAAGCCGTTAAAAGATTTAAGAGAGCATTGAAAAATTGGGATTTTTTTTAAAGTTGTATAAAAATCCTCAAAAAGGTCCAGAACCAAGAGTTACGAAAATTTCGTTTTTAAGATGAAGTTTTTCAAATAACTCGACATTTTAAAAACTGGAAGAGATCTCAATAAGATGTTTTGAAAAACATTAAGTACAAGATTTTCAAAAATTTCGGTCTGAAATACAATTTTTAAATATTCATATTCGCATTGAAAAATTGAGACTTTTGAATGGTTGTCTCAAAAACTCCAGGATCAAGTATTACAAAAAATGTGTTTATTGTATTGAAGTTTTTCAAACTATGTATTCAAAATTTTGAAAAACAGTAGAAATATTTATATAGGAGGCTATTGAAAAATTGAGATTTTTGGAAAGTTTCTTAAATAAAAATCCTCCAAAAATTCTGGAATTTATATCTCAACGAGCTGGTTTGAAAAACATAAACCGTTAATAGTCCCGAACCAAGAATTTTGAAAAATTCAGTTTCAAAATGCAATTTTTAAATATCTCGAAATCACGAATAAGGTCAAAAAATTCATACAGATTTATGTCAAATTCGTTTTGAACAAGAAATTTTTCAAATCACCCGAAATTTTGATAAACAGTCCAAAATTTTATGTGGGAGCGTATTGAAAAATTGTCATTTTTGGAAAGTTGCCTAAAAATCCTCAAAAGATTCTAGAATAGGGATCTCCACGAGCTGATTCGGAAAACCTCAAGTATTAATAGTTCCGGACTAAGATTTTTAAATATTCATATTCGTATTGAAAAATTGAGTTTTTTGAAAAGTTGCTTCAAACAGGTGCTGAATCAAGATTTACAAAAAATTAGTCTTGAAAAGGAGCTTTTTCAAAAACAAAAAATAAATCTCGAAATACCCTCAAAAAATGTATACAGACGGGTATTGAAAACTTGTGCATTTTGAAAATCTATCAAAAATACTCAAAAAATTGTGGGACATGTTGTGGCCAGCAAATCTTGGACATTATTTTTCTGTTATTTTGAAAATTTTGATGTAGTCTATGCTTTATTACCACTTTGACGTTTGAAGTTTAAAAGATTTACAACGTCTCATCCACCGTTAGCATACTCGAAATGCCAAAAATGATAAAGGTGTTTCACACTTTGTGACAGTGGAAAGACATCGAAGTCCAAGATGTTCTCTCCGCGACTGTAGATCTTCACGAGCTGAGTCGAAAAACATATTGTGTTAACTAATACTCCCGGGCCAAATTTTCGAAAAATTCGGTTTGAAAATGCAGGTTTTGAATGACTCGAAATCTCGAAAAACGGTCACAGGTGTTTGAAAACTTGTTATTAATATATTTTTTGCTGGGAATTTTGTTGCATTTCTACAAGTAATTAAATACAAAAAACTCCAAGCTATTGCTCGCCTACAACCGAAAAAATTTTCGTTTTTATATTAATTCACATTTTGTTGAACAGTTACTTATTACTAGGAATACGGTAAACCTAAATTTATAATGGCAGTATAAATGGTGAATAACAGCGGCATCAAAAATGTGTCGTTAAATAATGACTAATATTTTTTAAGAAGGGTTGCATTGGTCATTTTTAGAGAGCAGTGATTCTTTTTATTCCATTATCGGACGCTTTGAATGATAAGAGATGTGAAATTGAAATCAGAAAAAGATGTCTTTGAAGTACAGTAGACGCCGCTTGATATGATCACGGTTAATGTTTTCAACCGCTTAGTGTGATCAAAATGCCTTGGAATGGACCCACGCAATACCTATGCATTACAGTTTTTCCGTTTATTGTGATCAATCTCGCAATTCTTAAACAAACGGGAATTGCTTTTTTGGAAAAGCGAGACGACTGAAACTAGTATTGTGTTTTAATGAACATTCATTGCTCTCAAAAGGTACTACTCATTTTGTACAACCACAATCAGTGGTCAAAAACAGACTTAAAATCAGTGCATTTTCGACTTTTGAACAAACGAATTTTTTCTGTTTTAAATCTGAGTAGGCTTATGTAACAATTAACATGTCGAAACGACGAAATCTCAGTTTATCAGAGAAAAAAAAAAAAAATTCAGCCCTTACTTAACAAATTTCTGCAACAACCAAAGGAAATCGAGGGTTCCTTTCTCAGAATCGTAACCAAAATTTAAAATAAATTCTAATGTTTATGTACCTTCATCTACCAGAGTAATAAACTCTGTTTTGTTCATGATTTTGTTTTGTTTCGAGTTTTACTGTCTCTGATTGTGGTTTTCGCTTATTATTATCAGTCGGTTAATGTGATCAATTTGTCTGAGTCCCAAAGTGATCACATTAAGCGGCGTCCACTGTAGTTTCAGATTTGAAATGGTAATGAACATTAATTTTCTCATAATTGCTATCATATAATGTAATTGTTAGATGAAAATGTTTGGCTATGTTATTTTACAAGTTCCTATATACAGTTTTTGTGTAATTTTGCATCAAACAGTTTAAAAATACCCAAAAATTAGAATTAAAGTTAAATCCAAAGAACATTTCTTCAAATATGCAAAAAACAGTAGTCAAAATTTAGTACACCAAACTGTACTATATTATCTGGTACTTTAACACGAAATGTAAATACTTTTAAACTGTCAAAGATATTAAAAAAAATGTAGAGTTTTTCATAATCGAGTGAATTTTTAAACAAGGTGTCACAAAATTGTTAATCCGGCTTTGAAATTAGGCATAAATATTTTACTAGATAGGTTTTTTTTATTGAAAAAGATTATTCTATGTTTTGGTAGCTTTTTTTTTGGCTCATAGTATGTATCTATATATAAGTCAACATATATTATGTAAGTAGTACTTTTGATATGTTACAAAATGAGTTTTGACTTTATTTTCGTATACTTATCAGTAATGGAATACTGTTATATAATATGTGTTATAATATTTGTTTCGAACTCACAATTCATATTAAAAAATAAGCTGTTGAACACTTCTAGCTTGTTTCATTTAAGACTTATGTTCCTTCTTCTTTTCTACCACCATCCTCCAACTGTTTAACTAAAAAATTATAGTAGTATAGACCACTGGAATTCGAATCCGCATAATTTTTTAATAAATAATACTGTAACATTATTGAAAACACTATGACCTTTTGGTCTATTGAGGATTTTTGAAAAGTGTAGAGGAGTTTTACTACACGTTTGAAGAGTTTGTATGAATCCGCATGGTTCATCGTCGGCCCGATCAAAGGCTGCTTGGCTTGGCCGCCCATTGTAGTGCACTCCTAATTTTTTTTAAAGATATCAAACACTGGTTTAACCGATAAGTAAGTTTTGTAAATAATCTTTTATTTCTTACCAAGTTAGGAAACCTAGTGTTGATTTAACATTTATTATCAGCTACATACTTATTTGAATTTTCTGAGTCAAGATTAAAAAAAGACGTTTTAAATATTGGCGTTGAGGTGTTTTCCCGACTTTTTCATAAATGAAAACATCAAAAACTGGGGAGGTGGTAAGTTTCCTTTATTTTTTTTGCTGGCAATTTTTTTTTATTTAAACATTTAATTGAATAATTTTCATCTATCTTAAGCGTGCTAGAACTTGATAATTTATTAGAATTTCTGTTAAAATTCGTTGTGGGCTTCAGGTAGAAAGTTAAACATTGCTTACATTTTCAAAGCTTTGTATGTTTGCTTAATACGCGTTTACGGTCAGATGAGATTCTCTAATCTCATCTTTTAATACGTTACTCACAACGTCCAAACACGTGCGTATATCGAAATAAATTTGTGCTGGTTCTATTATACCGAAGGTAAAATCTACAGTAACTGGAACTTCAAGGTAAAAGCACAGATGGGAGGTTATTCGATTACAGACACTTGCAAGAGTCTATTCATTAAAGTTTGAATATCACCAAAATCTTATGTATACGAAATTTTGCAAGTAATAAAACGCTAAAAAAAACGCGATACAATACAATTTTCAGATAAATTGTTCTAAATCCACACCCCTCTAGTAGTGGTGTAATAATCGTCTCATCATAATTCGTAAACATCCCTTCCATTAGGTCGAGACGAGCACCTTTTGCTTTGACCCTCGCGGCTCCTCTGCGGACTGCAGTACATGTTGTAACCTGGAATGATATGAACACGGACATCCCCCGAGGGGCGAACCCCTTCTGGTCGTTGCCTCCTCGAAAACGTCACCGTGGTTTTGCAGCAGCAGTAATGAAAAAGGTTGACGTAGGCTCCCCTAAAGTGCCTGTTCGTGATGCAGTACAGAATGCTGTTGATGCAGGACTTGGTGATGCCTAGCCAGGCCAGCTTGTAGAACAAGCTGTTGTGCACCTCTTTCACCGTCCCGATGGCCAAAACCACCCCGAACGGGAGCCAAAAGAACACGAACAGAAGGAAACTGTACAGGTTGGTGTGCATGAGGGAGTAGTCCCAGTTGAAGGTGACAGAGGGCTTGAAGTTAGGCCTGGATTTGGCCCTTCGGATTTGGTAAGCGGTCCTCACGTAACTAAAAAGCGTTAGAAATATGGGCAAGAACACAAACACCACTCCCACGGTAGCCTGGTAGGGGATGAGGCCGGGATTCCGCCGGGTGCAATAGTCGAAGGTTAGATCTGTAGCAAACTGCAAACTGGAAGTCACGGCACTTACTGTCCATAGCATCATGAGAATGGCTGTGATTTTTCCTCGGCTCAAGAGTTCGTAGGTTGCGGCCGAGCAGCACAGACGGATGTAGTTTTCTGCAGCGACTGCCGTGAGGGATAGGACAGTCACTAAGAAGCATACCGTCGCAAGGAACCATTGGAACTTGCACACAGGGAGGTTCTCCGGAAGGCCAGCGAGAATCACCACGGCTGAGGCGGGGATGACTAAACCGGTCACTAGTAGGTCGGCTAACGCTACGCTCACCACGAATGTGTTACCTGCACCAAAAGAATGGAATTTTCAAACAGCAACAGAACGACTTTAAAACACAACAAACATAACAATGAAAATAAGTCTGCGTATTGTTGGTTAAACTGCTAAATTTTTTAAGTGGCAGTACAGGATAAAGTTAACGAAAAGTGTACTGTGTACACCTATACGTAGTGATGTATCCAGAGGAGGCGGGCTCCTCAAGACCTAGCTAAAACAATAATGCTATTCGATTACACTAGTCTACAAGGCTTGGCCCAAACAAAAGGATGTCAGTAATTTTTGGAAGCACTTTTGTACCACGAATCTAAATCTGTTTTCAGAAAAATTCTATTACGTCGGGTGAAAGATATATACGATAATAATCAAACTCCGTCAATTTTAGTCGCATAACATTTTAATTAACGTTGATTCCTTTTTTCCGAAGTATATGATTTGTATCTAACAGTTTATACTTCTGACACAAAATAATTGCCCAACCCCTCGTGTTTTAAAGAAAATCAAAAATTGTTCTGTGAAGATACTCAACTTTGCTCGTCGTTCATGAAACTCAAAGTTAAAGAACAAAATTCTTAGTGCTGTGTTAAACAATATGTCACCTTCCACGGTTGGCGTCCCCAGGTCAAGGAGAAGGCCGTCCTGAAAGAAGGTACCGTCCAGGCGGGAACGACCCTGCTGACCGTTTTATACTTTTTTTTTAGTTTGTAAAGTTTTTTTTGTAGATATGTAAGATTATTTTAGCCGTAAGATTTATTTGAGCCGTGTAGCTGGTGGCAGGGGATAAACCCGGTTTATTGTTTAAATTTCTTTCCGTTATATTTTATTTTTTTGTTTTCGCGGGCGCTCACCAGACCACTTGGAGATCCGTGTCTCCGGGTTTAGAGCAACCCCGGTGCTCCCTCCCCGGAAGAGGGAGCTGGCGCTCGAGTGACTGTCGCTCCAGACCAAAGGCTCCACCCCCGGTAGTGTGAAGGTGTCCGCATAAGCCTAGATCGGCCAGAGGCATTTCGGCGGCACTAGTAGGCCCAAGGCTTGGCATCGAGGCACGCCACCCCCACACATTATCGGCGAAATTCCAGACGTTCATTGGAATTTCGTCACAGAATTTGTAAACTACTGCTAACACTAATTATGAGCAACAATCTAACCTGACCTAATGCTCGAAATGTGGATGGCAAGAAAAGGGATAGAACTGAGATTTAGGTTAGCACAATTGCTCACTGCCTACGGGGCTTTTGGGCAGTACAGGTACAGGTTAGGGAAACGTAAAAACCCCAGAATGCTAGAAATGAGGAGAAGAAGTAAATACGGCCAAACATGCAATGTTTTTTGCAATAAATAGACAGATACAAAAAAAACATATATAAGAGAAAATTCGTTAAAAACTAAATGATAACATCATAATAAAGACTATGCTTCAATGTTCACAAAGCTGGCACAGTATCGTGACTCTAACAGAAGATATCGAAAAAAAGAAAACAAGGAATGGAGAAGAAAGAAGATCAACCGATTGCAAAATATTTGCGGAAGGACAACAGCAAAAGGACACCTGAAGTAATGCTTCGTACTGGTTTTGGATAGTCAAAATTCTGTTGTAACGAATAAAGAAATTGAGGACATGGACATTTGTTGGACAACGACCTTTATAGTAGCTTTAGTGGGATTATGCCCATGTAAAGGTCTGGTCAAGCCAAGTCAGATCAGGTCAGGCCAGGTGAGGTGAAGTCAAGTGAAGTCAGAGCAGGAACCTCCCTGAGCTAATGGTCAAGTCAAGTTAAGTAAGGGCAGGTTAAGTCAGATCTAGGGGATCATAAATACAAAGTTCTACTCGTTTTTTGTCGTTGAGTGATTTAAAAAATTATATATCGACAACTCTGCTTACCTATTTCATACAAATACCTCAGATTTGTGACAGTTTTAAATCTGATCTATCCAATTGACGTTAACATTTTTATTTCAAATTGCACAGGGTGAGTTTTTTAAGGCTACATATACCGGGCGACTATTAATGATTGTAGCAAATTTTTATCGTCTTGGCACTTGTGAATTATATTAGTTTACGGTTCTCAATTTTGACATGAGGGTGCATAAAAAACGTGATCAGAAGATGGCAACCATTGACTTGATTCCTACAATTTTAATTTGCAATCAGGTATACCACCACAAATGTTAAAGTGTTGCCAACTTGAGAAAAAAAATCACAAACATTAATAGTCACTCGGTATTTGTTATCATTGATTTAATACCTCTGCGGAACATTATATTACTACGAGAAACTTGTTGCAATGTTATTAAAGTAAAGGCATAGATCGTTGATAAACGTTAATCATTAGACAATAAAAACAATATTACGAATACTTTTTTTGGTGTCAGTGTGGATGTAGATTTATTACTTCAAAGTTGTAATTATCGTATCTAATTCGCCTCTGACTCCCACTAACAAATTTTTCTGGGTGCCCCTCTAATCATAATATGGGTATATTTTCTTGTATTATTGTTCAAATTTAGTTCGAGGCAACGCACTGTTAAGCTGAAATTGGTTCTAACCCAATAATTTAGCCTATAAATATAGAAAATAATTGACATAAAACACAGAACAAGTTCTCAGGGGACGTCAAATTCTAGGAAGCGATAACTTTTCGATTAGTGTGTTATATTGTAAACAACAACGTTAATTTAAGCTTCACAAAGTTGATGTACTGCATAGCAAAAAATGGTATGAAAACGTTGCTTCAATTTTGTTTCTTATAAAGCTCTCCTTCAGGGAAACTTTATAACGGGATCAAAATTCAAAGTGATAGTTTTTTCTCCAACTATTAGTCAATAATCTCGTTCACTTTGAGTCAAATTGACAAGCACAAATGCGACGATGCTTCTGCTTGGCAAGGCGACCATGACAGCAGAAAGAAATAAATTAGAAAAACTGAAACGTACAAGTGTAGCTACCAAGTTCCTCTTCTGGGTCAAATTTTGTATTTGCTTTTGGTGTCCTATATGGTATATGGTTCAAAACTTCAAGTTCTTAATTTAATGACTTTCTCAATAAATAACCTCATATACTGCCGTGAAAGTATTCTACATCAATCAGATTTGGAGACAGCTGAAGGACATCAGCTTCACAGGAATCGATTCTGCAATCAGCAGCTTTCAACGTTCCGAAATCTAACGCTAAAGTAGTTTGTCATAGTACAATTTCCTCTGTATGCACGCGACTATGTAAGCGTTAGCTCATTAAAAAAGTATTAACTGCTCTAAGGGATTGTGTGATAGTAAAATAGTATATTAAAAAATTTTCATTAGGGTTCAGGTCTAATACGTCTATTATCTTTAAATTAGTGGCAGGATAACGAAAATATTGGACCAATATCCTTGTTATCCTGCCACTAATTACGTCCTCCAAAATACGGGAAACTGCCGTAGTATCCGATATATTTGGGGCCAGCAATGTCCAAATCTAAAGTTGTCCCGATGCTCTAGAGCTGCACCGGTGCAGTTAGACAAATTACGTGAATATAATTTTCAAGAAAATATTTTGACAATTTATTTTACCTGGCACTAATCTAAGTACCCAACACGCATATTCTAATTAAAAATGTCATTTCGTTCTTTTGATGTTTATTTTATTTATTATTTGATAGTAACATTTGTCAAGACTACCAATCTTGAAAATATAAATTACACCAGTTCTATTAAAGCACTCAATTTGGGTTTAATCCAATTTTTTTTCCGTCATTTTTCTTCGTTTTTATGAAATAGTGGCAGTATCTTCACGATGTATTTATAAATTCAGAACCGAAAACGCAAATATCAACGAAGGCTAAAGAGAACTTTTGTAGAATAAATTGAATTTTAGGGGAAGCGTTTACCTTTAGGTGAATCAGATTAGAAATAAGTGCGTCAGGAGATGATTCAAGACTGAAGAGAATCAAAGCTGCATTATGATTTGCAAAATTGTATTACAGCAAAGTAGTGTCTTTGACAAAACAGTCAAAATATCGAAACTAATAATCAAACCTGTGGTGTGTAGTTCCAAAATGACGATATACCGAAATGACAAAAATTACTCCTATATTTTTAATTATCAAATTTAATTCCTGCATAACAAATTCGTGCAACAATTCTTGTGTATGTCTGGATCGTCAACACTTTAAACTATTTTCCATCATGATCATAAAATACCACATCCCCGAAAAAAAAAATCCTCTAGTAGGCCATTTATTTGACAGTTATTTGACCGTACCTGTCAAACCGAGCAAGGAACAGATTGATGTTACCAACATTATTTTTACTTCCCGATTGTAAGGCTAAGGAAGTATAGTAATCGTGTCCATCGGCCGAATTGCCACTTGCATATTTTCTCGACATTTCATGACCCCTAAGGTACGAAAAAAAGTAGTGTTCCGTTTCCGTCTGTCTATCTGTATTCATTTTGATTAGACAAGTAACCTCCGAATCTACTGGACCGATTGTTGTCATATTTTGTACGTATATTAGACGGTTAAACGCTAACTAAAATTTAGATAATCATCCCCACAACCAATGGGATGACGTTTTCTCCAAAATTTATAATAAAAAGTTTTTAAAAATTGTATAAAATAAGATACTCCTGCACTTGTGGTGTGTGAATCCGTGTCGAATTTTCACTCTAGACATCCAGAATTTTTGTAAAAAATTCAAAACTGAATAACAATATTTTACATAAAACTTTGAATCTGGAAAGCCGATGCTCTGAAATCTTGTAAATATTTTAAAGCTATCGTAATCATGGTAAATCGTTAAGCAAAATTGATTCGTTCATCCCCTCCACGTAAAAATTGATGCCGTCATCTCAAAATTTTACTGAATAAATCCTATCCAAAATGTGCAAAATATGATGAGTCTGTATGTACTTGTGATTTATCATTGTGTTAAAAATTTTTAAATTTCTTATACAACTTGACTCATAAAAATTAATGAATGAGTCAATTTATTGTATTGATTAAATCGGGAACGGCTCACTCACTGCATA